TAGCTGAATATTGCTGCCCTGATTCCCAACCGCATTAGCCCTCAACGGGTTACGAGCCATTATCTCCGCATGGGACTGTGACTGTCCTGCCTGAGCCAATGCCGCCATCCGAAGCTTAGCCTCCTGAGCCTCTCGACCTGCCTTCTCCCTATCCATTTCTGCTTTGACTTCAAGCAAGGCCTTTCTTTCTTCTTGTAGCAGAGCTTGTTCTACCATCAACCTTTCCTCTGATCTGAATTCTCCCATTGCTCGCTTTCGAGTTATTATGTTGAAAGCTAGGGCTTGTTTCTCAAACGTTGCAGTGAATTCAGCAACTTTAGCGGCAATGTTGTTATCCCATTGCTGAGAGCGGGACAGTGCCTGCCCTGTTGGGTCTGAATCAAGGATTCTATCATCCTCTTCTGCTTCGTAATCTGCTACCACGTGATAAGGCAATAACCTGCATAGGTTTTCAGAGAACACACGTACGAGTAAATGACCAGCACAAACCATATACAGGATGATCAATCAAGGCAATGAATGTATCTAAAAATTACTCTAATGGAAACTTTTAGCAGGTACTAATTGTCAACAAATAATTATTAGTATCTAGTGATTCAGTGGTTATACTAAAAAGGAAACTTTCATAAAATTTGGCGAGAAAAGACGGGATGAATTTCCAAATTAACCTCAAAACAATGACGACCGTGCAGAGAAACCACATTAAAGTCAGAAAGAGACTGAAGTTTCGCATGAACACCAAAGGCCAAAGGATCTCTGATGGGCAGGGAAAATCATTGGAGGCTAATGAATCTAACATAAACAATAATATCAATCAAACAAGAACAGAGGCAAACATAAAACCAAACAGGAAAACACAAAGTCTTAGACTTGTTGTCCTTAACAGATAAGGATCCAAACCCTGACATACAAGAAACTGAAGAACACTCAAGTTGCATAATTTTCTACAGGTCAGTAAGAACAATGATTCATTCAAAGAGCAAAGACACATAAGCATATCAAGTGTAGTAAATGTAACTACTTTGAACAAATCTATCAAAAAAAAAAAAAAAAAAAAAAATAAACAATTCGATCACTGAAGTAGATACAACTAACCTTTCGCAAGCGTCTTCGGGAGAAGAGAAAGGCCGCTTGAAATCTGGGTGGCAGACACGCCAAGCGTCCTGATAAGCGAATTGTAGCTCGATGTGATTCAACGGACGCATCAATTTCTGCTGCTGCTGCTGTTGCTGTTGCTGCATCATCTGCTGGCTCGCTGCAACCTGCTGCTGCTGCGGCTGAAAATTAGGCGTATGCTGTCCCAGGTTAGGGCCAGGGCTAGGATTGGGATTGGGATTGGGATTCTGCTGAGGCGGAACAATGGGTCGGCTCTGGATCAACCCCGGCGGACGGAGATGGACGTCGATGTTCGACGGGAACCTAGACATTGCAGCTTGTTGTTGTTGTTGGTGCTGCTGTTTCTGTAGCTGCTGCAATAGAAGCATCTGTTGTTGTTGTTGTCGCTGTTGCTGTTGCTGTTGTAATTGGTGTTGATAGAGGAGTTGTTGTTGTTGTTGTTGCTGCTGCTGCTGGGGATGATTCCCTCCCAATGGCTTCGCCTCCTCCATTTCTTTAGCCTGGATTTGTGATAATCTTCAGTGTTTTTCGGAATCTAGGTTATTTTGGGAAATGTTCTTCGTCGTGGATTTTTGTTTTGGTCAACGTTCTTCGTCGTGATTCGTGAACATAGGTGGATCATGGATGTTTAAGCAAACAGTCATGTGCCAAAATCTGGGCCAAGATGATTGGGCGTTCATTTGTAACTGAAAGCCCAAGATCGTTAGCTCAACTAAGCAGACTAAACCGGGATGTTTAACCAAAAACGATAACCAAGTTGAACCGAGAATGTTTTAAGTTTGATTTGACCACACCATACAATATAAAGTTTCTAACAAAGATTAGCGTCACACACAGTGTCGTTAATCTTCATCGTCATTTGAGATATTGTTGAAATGATAGATAATATTTCATTATGATTCAGCTAAAGTAATAATTAGATACGTGGAACAGCTCTAAATAGGCGTTTTATAAACATAATAAATTACATGAACTAAGGACTTGGTCCTTGACTTGTGCTACTATGAAGTACGAACTTGGTTGAAGCAAACTTCGTTTATGGCGTTTACACTCTACTGACTTATGGTCCAAAAACCAGTTCCTTCAAAGATCTAAACGGCGAGTTGTGACGATAAGCCGCTGCATCTCTCCACAAAGCCAGTCCTGTTTCACACACAATTAGAACAATTTAGTGTTTTTTTGTCAGACTTTGTTTTATGAACATTTCGCATTCGGAAATATGGCCAAAACAAAGGATGAATCTGTAAGAGAGTATCTTGAACCTATCCATGAGATCAAACCAATTGTGGCCGCTGCGAAGAATGACTTGCTGGTGCAGTTAACTCTGCATTTGGAGATTCCAGGATTATTGATATACTCTTGAACTAGCGACAAAAACCATAAAAGCCTCAAGAGAGCTGTGCACGGATGAAGGATTCTTACATGTATAAGCACAGAATGTTTCCATATCCGTAAAAGAGAGTTGCCCATATCGAACCAGTGAACCTACATCACAGTTTGATGAATATCAAGTAGTTTGATACTATGGGTGAATATTGTTTAAGCTGAAAGGCTTCGAATTTGAGAAAGCTTAGCTTTACCACATCAAATCGCGGATAAATAGTGCTCGTGGGATCATAAGCCCGTTTCCCATCATCGCAAGTACCATTGTGATTGGCGATAAACCTTTTATATTATCTGGGTTTAGGAAGTTTGTCCACTGCAATGTCGAAGAAGAACATCAGATATATTCAACAGGCAAATAGCATTTTGGACAAGTTTAGAGGTAACTGAGATGCCGTTTTACCATTTGGGAAACTGGCATCCACATGAACATTAGTGTCGCTGTCCATCCAGATAAAGACCCGACAAACCTAACACCTTTCTCTGAAAGTTTCCCGGTTCGGGCCTGCATTCTTACCATATGAAAGTTAAGAGAAAGGAAGAATACTTCTATGTACTGACATCATGTTTTCGTTTTCACAAATCCAAAGATTAATCTACAAGACTCAGAATGAAGTTGCAAACGGAAAAGGTTTGACGTTCTGCAGTTAGCTCAATGTTACATCAAGGTCTACAAAGTTTTAGAATGCAGTCAGCGTCAGTAAAACAATTGAGTTCCTGCGACCATGATTCTATCGCTAGCTTAGTTTCTAGTCAAGTTTTGGTTGCATTTCTTCAACTCTTGTGGATATTATCCTAGAGGCTAGAGACCCAGAGTGACCAATACGACTCGAAGAATGTGCATACGCTGCATACAGAGAGGAGAAACTAACGCACAAGTACTTGAAAAAGCTTACCATAATTACAGCCGCTACAGCGATAACGAAAGCAGTTGTCCCAGGCAAGATACTGTTTGGTACAAGAGGGACAAAAGTTGACCACATGATCTGCAATTTCAAATTCAGAATGTCAGTGTAGAACTAACTATATATATGTATGTCTGCTCTAATGCCTTTGGATGAGATCTACTGCTCAAAGCCAAAACTTGAGGTGAATGGTAGAGAGCTCACTTGAGGAAGAACGGAGAGTCCACCAACAGTGATAAAGTCTTCCCACAGTCGCCACAGAGCTGTGCTGAGCTTACCGAAATAGTACAAACAGTTCAAAATGAGACCAATCGCGACAACAGCAGAAGTAGCAACAAAATACTGCAGAGGCATTGCCTCAGCCATTGTGAGCTGCGCAAGCACGACGTAGGTGGAGATCACTCCCAGCGTCTGCACCACTGCTGCTTCTTTCTCTCTCTTCTTTGCGAAATACGAAAGCAGCGAAAGGTTACCTAGCAAACCAGTCAACATCCCCTGTATTCCAAAAATGTGCACTTTCAGATTCCCTTAAGAGCAGAATCAAATGGCATCGTCTGTGTATATAAACAATTCGAGTGAGATTTGAGATAATCTAAGATTATACCAGCCATGGGACAGCCGAGAGAGCGGTGTTGTTTCCCGCCATAAGATTCTGGGCATTGAGGATAATCTGTGGCAATTGCAGCATCAGAAATGGGATGTTTGCTCCGCCGGAGAACTTCGCCGTCCATGAATCCCATTCTTCGTATTCCTTAGTTTTCCCCAAACCTTGAGATCCCTATGTGATGAGAGAAACCCCCAAAATCAAAATTAACCCAGCAAACAGAATTAGCAGTTGATTTTAGGTGAAATTGTGAGAACAGTTTCGACACCTGCGGAATCGGATGAGGGAGGTCCGAGTCAATTGCGCGAACAGGAACGAGTCGGCGAGTCGAAACAATCGGATTCCACCGATTCAAAGCCAAGCCATCGACGCCGCTAGGAAAGACAGGACCACCGATACGCGCACGCTTCAGCGGCAGGCGGGAGAACTGGGCTGGAGAAACGAAAGAAGCGCGAGGACGACTCGGCAATATCAATAAGCGGTCGCCACTGAGAGACATTGCGATGGTTTTAGCTTCCATGGGAGTGGGAGAATTATTGTACTTGCCTTTGAACAGAGACGACGAAGAAGGAGGGGTCTTGGAGTGTGAGAATCATGGAGTGTTCTTGGGAAAGGAGAAGATGCCACGTGGATGGTATTATCGTAAATTGTAGCTGCGATGATCATGTGCTACAAAGTACTACAAACTTTGTAGTGATCCTAGATTTTATTTGGGTTCTTCAAGCTTCGATTTTCCCCCTTAAAAATTGAAGCTTTTTTTTTTCTGGTATTAAAAGGATAATCGAATATCTTCGAATGACTTGAAACCCATAAGTTTTCGCGGAAAAAAAGGCCCATAACGTAGCCCAATTTTGTCAAACATATTGGTCTCAAGTCTCAAGCCTTGAGTTCCTTTTCCAATCTCTCCGAAAGAGACAACTTGGCTTAATTTTGAGAATAGTGACTCAATATCGCTCCTGTCGCCTGAGTTGGTGAGCTCTTTGGTGTCTCCAATGGAAGGTAGAGTTTCTTATATTATTTTAATTCTATCATTTTCAATTTTTCAATATTCGATATCGTAACTTTGATTGTGTAGTTGTGTTACCTCCTAAAGTTGGATCCTGTAAATTTCCAAGTGTTTTGTTGTTGACTTGTTGTCGGAGTTTGATTCGGTTCGAATGGTTAAAACTTAAATCAGAATAATTTCAGGATGGGCCAAGTCATGGGAAATTATCTGATGCATATCATTTTGAAGTTTTCTGATGAATTCAGTTTTCACTTTTGCATCACAACGAACTCCTGATGATCAAAAGCTTGTAGCTTCTTACTGAATTTCACATTTTTTATTATCCATGAACTGTGCATCTGTTGACTATTAAAAATTCCAGCAAGTTTTATGATTCAAATTGAGAAAACAGTAAAAGAAAGAAAAATAAAGGCTAATTTAGAAGTATGAATTCTTCTCTTATGGTGCCGTTTTTTTCAGGCAAGGTTTTCCAAAAGTTAAATGTAGTACAGTGCTGCTACCTACAAAATAAGCAGTTTAAGACACGATACCAAAGTGCTTTACTTCCCTGTCCAAGAGGGAACCTCAACTCTTCCATGCGCGTACACACTTTGTCCAAATACCAGACTACTCCTATTTCCAAGCAAACAACTTTTTACTGCAATGGTCCGTTCTAGACTCTTGATATCAAGGCTTTAGATGAAGGAACAACGCTTTTCAGCTTTGCCTCTTGATTCACGCTTTTGCTTTGCTTCTTTCGTTTTTTTTTTTTTTTCATTTTCGGCATCAACACTTTTATAGTCCTTGCATTTGTGTATTGTTTTTCCCTATGTTGCTTGTCAAAGAGAATCTCATCTTCTTGTTGAATATGGGTGCCTCATTTTGGAATCTCCCTTTGCAGCTGCTTTGTCAAGTGCGACTGTGCCATCTCTTGACAGAACCGATTTTCTGAAGCTTCAGAACGGCAGGTGAAAAGTACATCACTTACCAGCTAATCATCATCACTGCTAGTTTTTTTTTTTATCTTGTAATTCTTCTTCTCAACACTAGTTGACTCACGCTACGTTTCATTGCTCTCTCCCTAGCGATATTCGGGGTGTAGCGGTCTCCGGGGTTGAAGGGGAACCTATAAGCCTTCCTGAACCAGTGACTGAAGCCATAGCTGCTGCTTTTGGGCAATGGCTAATACACAAGAAGAAGGCTGAGTCCCGGAAGTTGAGAGTATCTGTTGGCCATGACTCTCGCATATCAGCACAAACCTTGCTGGTATATATTTAAGTTCTTCATCTATTGGACATAAACCTCTAAGCCATTGGTGTATATTTCCATTTACTCCAGTTTCTAACCCAAGACGTTACTTCACTTCTAAAAACACTCTTTATGCAATGCGATATGTAATCCACTGGCATTCGATATGTAGGAGGCGGTTTCTCGAGGTCTCGGTGTTTCTGGATTAGACGTTGTTCAGTTTGGGTGAGTGATGGCTAGTCTTTGTTGTCCTTAAACGAAAATTCGTTGTATTATAATAGCCATATGTTAGTACAAAATTATATTGGAGCGTATTGAAGCACTTCAAGCACATCTCTTGAATATCACCTTATGTTTGTTTTGCAGATTAGCATCAACACCAGCAATGTTCAATAGCACATTGACTGAAGATGAATCATTCTTGTGCCCAGCCGATGGGGCTATCATGATAACGGGTATATTTTATTGATCTCGATTTTCGTAACAAGTATTTTTTTTCTCTTAATAGTAGTCATCATCACTTGGTGATTCTTTCCCATTTTGTGCTTCATATGGTATTATGCTTTTATTTTGAGCAGCGAGCCATCTTCCTTACAACAGGAACGGTTTCAAGTTCTTTACCAGTGATGGAGGGCTTGGGAAGGTTGATATCAAAGACATTTTGGAGCGAGCTGCAGATATTTACAAGAACTTTTCTGATGAACGTCTGAGGAAATCACAAGGAGAAAACTCTTCTATTAAAAAGGTTGACTACATGGCAGTATACACCGACGGTCTTGTAAAGGCAGTTCGGAGAGCAGCAGGAGATTTAGGTATCACTCCTTTAAGATATTTGTTATTTTTTTCAGGAATGCTTCTAGCATAATCAATAGAGTTCTGAACTTCCAATTGCTCTGGTTCTAATATATCAAGCTTTAAATTATGGCGTTTCTGAATCTTAGAGAAGCCTCTAGAGGGATTCCACATAGTCGTTGATGCTGGAAATGGAGCTGGAGGATTTTTCGCTGTAAGTGCAGTGCATATTGTTGCTTTATCCCAACCACGTTGTAGACCTTTCTGCAGTTGACTTTTGCTTCATATGAAACCTGACAGGCCAAGGTGCTTGAGCCTTTAGGAGCAATTACTTCTGGCAGTCAATTTCTGGAACCAGATGGTAATATCTATGCGTATGAGTACATATTGGCTTTGTTTTAATCAACAGCTGATCAAAACCTTCTGGATATCAGGCATGTTTCCAAATCATATCCCTAATCCGGAAGATAAGTCAGCAATGGAAGCTATAACCAAGGCTGTGCTTGATAATAAGGCTGATTTGGGTATCATCTTTGATACTGATGTTGATAGGTTACTACCTCAGCTATCTCTGTTACTTAGGAGAAATTGTTAGATTGCCTTCTTACAGACAATATTATTACCTGAAGGTCTGCTGCTGTGGATTCAACTGGCCGTGAGTTCAACCGTAATCGTCTTATTGCCTTGCTCTCAGCCATTGTTCTAGAGGAAGTGAGATATGCTCTTAACCATTTTTACTACTACCTTGATTGTGTATCACATATATTGTACATATACAGTTTTTTTTTGTGTCCTGATGTTTTTTTTTTCCTTGTTCATCCAGCACCCTGGCACAACTATTGTTACGGACAGCGTCACTTCGGACGGTTTGACCTTATTCATTGAGAAGAAGCTCGGTACGCCAATAATTTTCCGGCACTTGTATTTTTTTCTGTGAATTCTTCACTGACCCAAACTTGTTTCAGGGGGAAAGCATCTCAGGTTCAAAAGAGGCTACAAGAATGTCATCGATGAAGCTATTCGCTTGGTAATGAATCTAAACGATCGTATTTTTCGAGATCTCATGCTTTGGTGCCAATTGTTGTTAGAGATTTAAACTTTGCCTAAGAATGTTGAAAAAAAGCTTACTACTTTAGGACAGTTGATAATTCTTATCTAAAATATGTGTTGTGATGATGTGATGGCAGAACTCAACTGGAGAAGAAACACATCTGGCTATAGAAACCAGTGGTCATGGAGCTCTAAAAGAAAACCATTGGCTCGATGACGGAGCCTACCTCATGGTTAAGCCTTATTTTCTCAGTTACATATGATTGCCGTTGGTTTGAAGAAAAGAAAAAAGAAACCGAAGTTTTGCCATTTGCAGGTAAAAATCTTGAATAAACTAGCTTCGGCCAGAGCTGCTGGTAAAGGAACTGGAAGCAAAGTTTTAACGGATCTTGTTGATGGGCTAGAGGAGCCCAAAGTTGCTTTAGAACTGAGGCTTAAAATCGACAAGAATCACCCCGACCTTGGAGGAAAGTACGAATTGATGACTTACTGAGTTACTTCAGCTCTTGACTAGTTTCTCTTTTATGTTTGCATTTCACTAACCATTACAAATCTGTATAGAGATTTCCGGGAATATGGAGAGAAGGTCCTGCAACACGTCTCGAACTCGATAGAAACTAATCCGGATCTCAAAACAGCTCCGGTTAACTTCGAAGGGGTCAGTATTATTAGATTGCTCTCTCCCTAGAATCTGCATAGGTGTAATATATATTTTCATCTCTTTTTGACAATCATAAACAGATCCGCGTTTCGGGCTTTGGTGGATGGTTTCTTCTCAGGCTTTCTCTCCACGATCCTGTTCTTCCCCTTAACATCGAGGTAAACATGTGTATGTGTATAAAGCTTAACTTATAGTTTCGGTTAGCCAAACTCTGACTCGAAATCTCAAATTGGAACGCAGGCGCAGAGTGAGGATGATGCTGTGAAGCTAGGCCTTGTGGTTGCTTCGGCAGTGAAGCATTTCAATGCTTTGGACACCTCTGCCTTGTCCAAACTCACTCACTCCTCTTAAGATCAGTATGTGACTTTTTTTTCTCTGTTGTGAAACTACAAATGTTTCAAACTGATTTTATATTATAAGGAGGGCAAAGTACAAAGTTCAACATTGAGCAATACACTTTTGTAAGACAGAGATTCTGTTCTTCTACTGTAGTTTTTTCTTTTATAGAGAAGACATGATCCATTTATTAGCAGCGCTTTTGCTTCTTCCGTTAGATGCAAGTTGACCGTTAAACACGCCGTCGAGCTCTTCAACGAACCTCTGCATCGCCTTCTCCGGCAAACAAACCGGTACAACGATCCCTCTCTCGCCTTTTCTCTTCTCAAACGAAACGTAGAAGCTAGACCCCGGAAAATCCGTGACTCCGGCCGTACCGATTCCTCCGTAAACCGGTTTTCCCCAAACTCCGAGATTAATGTCTGCGAAGTTCCTCACGTCCGATATCAAGTAGGCTCCGTCCGTCGAGAACCTTGGCCTTCCCTTTGTCACCATCAGATCCGCGAGCGAACGCATGTACTCCTCCGTCACGCTGGATTTCACCTCCTTCACTAGTCTCAGAGCGAACTCTAACGGCTTCTCCGTTAGTTCTCTACCGGTTGCGATTGCGACTGGGAACGCGAACGCGTTTCCGTAGTATCCCGGTGGTAGCGGTGGGTTTCTGAGCTTGGGACGCGCGTTGACGATGAATATGAGACGCATCTCCTTGCTCGGGTCGGGTCTTAGAGCGGCGGTGCGATATCGCCACATGAAGGACGTCAGCGTTTCCACATCTGTGCTGCGGTCGGAGAGGTTCGGTGGGAGGAGCCTCCGTATGGCGGACATCTCGGCGGCGCCGAAGAAGAAGGACCGGCTGACTAGATTGTCTCCGTCTCCGTTGGCGGATTCCGCATCGGCCGCCGACTGTTCGTCGTACTCGCGGTGAGCATGCGTCACATGCGCCGGGACCCTGGCGCTCAGAAGGTGACGCTCCCACACCGGCGCAACCGTTGGCGCGTGCGATCCGCTTGCAAACTCGCTAACTGTTTTCAGGAAGAGGGAGAGACCGGCGGCGTCGGAAATTACGTGGTTGATACGGACGGCGCAAACAAAACCGCCGCATTTTAAGCGCGTGACCTACACGAAATAGAAAATAAAAATGTGATCACTATCAACGTTAATAACAATATTCGACGAACGATAATAGAAAATTCGAGTATTTTGAACCTTGTGTATACAAATGGTGGATATGTTATACGAAAATGACCTGGATGAGAATCATAGGTGCGTTGAGCACCTCACTTGAACCTTCTACGTTAAAAAGAAGCTCTTCGAAGCAAGGAAATGGAGGGCGTAGAGCATCCTTATCTTCAAACTCAGCAAGTGTCATCTCAGCATCTGCCTCAATGAACAAGATGCCTTCGCCGGTACAGTCCACGGCGAGTTTACGGTTCGGTCCTTCCCGGAGCCTACCAGCCAACGGGTAGTAGTAAACCAGCGTCTCGGCCAGGGCTCTCCGAATCACTGCGACCGGGTCGGAGAAAGCAGTAGGGTTGTGTCTGTAGAAAAAGATAGTGGGGATGTGGAATCTTAGTCCTTCTTGGTCGTCGATGTCGGAGAGGAGTTTGAGCTCTCTCGGTGTTGGCTTCGCTGGAGAAACTAACTCCGGCCCCCGTCGGTGGACCTTGAATGTGAGTGAGTCGGAGGTTACCGGTGGAGGGATTTGCAGCTCCATGTTTTATGACTTTGGGTGATATAACATCTCTTATTTATAGGGGAAGATGGAGAGATAATGATAAGGTTTTGGAGAATTTTAACTACTAATTATTAAAGAAAACTGGTTTAATTTATGTTCGAATATTAATTGATGTGTCCATATTAAAGTTTAGCATTTTCAAGAATTAGTTCATTCACATTTAATAGCACAGTTTATTATTTCACCAAACTTGTTTGGCCTATTCATTTATATACCGTACCTCGTGAATTTATATATGGCTAATTGGCTATAGATGAAGACGTTGCAAGCTGCATCAAGAGTGGCAACTTGCAAACTTGCTCTGCCAATCGCATTTGTAATTCTTATAATTCTGACGGCTTTAATGTTTCAAACTATTTGTATGCAACTTAAACGTACTTTATTAATGATATAATATATCATTTCAAACACTGACGGATTTACGTACCCAATGACTAAAACCGGCTTAGATTTTGTATCGAACTTTACATGAGTTTGACTACGGCTTGTGTGCATGTAGAGTGATTATCGACTTTATGAACGTACACGGAATGTTTCTGCGATAATATATATTTTTTTGTGGCAAAGGTGTTTTTGGGATAATGTTAGAATAATCTGCGGCCACTTTGGTAGTTCAGGAACGCATATATTTTAAACTCGATAAAACTAAAAGCAACCTTTTATAAAGGACTGATTCAAACATGGAGTGTGTGTAATGTGGAACTGGTCTTGAATGGAGTGAGGACCGGCTAAAATGACTCATCTTTTCCATTCTAACACTTTTGACCATCTAGTTGAAATATGGACGACAAGTAGTAAAATCTATTATAAAAAAATTGTTTATTTTAATTAGTAAATTTGTTTTTATCCCCCAATCAGTGTTTCAAATTGTTCAGTTTATAAAATGTGGAAACAGGTATTAGTTGTTGGAAAGATTTCCAATAAAAAAATTGGCTTCATTTGAATATTATCATTTGTTGGAAAGATTTCCAATAAAATATGTTGGTTTTACTCAACTTGGTTAACACCGTTCAATGATTTATGTAAGCTTCGAAACAACATTTGCTTCGGCTCAGCTAAACACCTATTAATTCACAATGAACATTTCGTATGTGTGTTTTTAATAAAAAAAAGTTCACATGTTTAAAAGAAATGTAAAATGTGGAATAATTTCTACACACTATTCTTTTTGGACCACCATGTCTAGTCGTACTATGATAATAACTAGTAAGAAGCAAAAACACAATACGAAATGCTTTCAATCATCTTATGTGATTAGACGTTTGCAAACCCCACATAGTCAGTCATAGGATACTTCGTTCGTTTATTGAACATGCGAAATGAATTGGGATGAATAGCGAATAACAACTTCTACGGTATGATGGAGAAACAGTTTGATATTTTTACAAAATTTTCATTAAGTTTATTTTAAATTGTATGACCCAGATATTATAATTCAAATATCACCATATTTTCGTACTTTGTCTACATACGTATTGCAATTTTCACGTTCACCATTATAGATGTTTCTTTTTTTAACAAAAAGAAAAAAAAACCCATTATAGATGTTTCTTAGTTCTCGTTTTTAATATTAAGATGCACATGTTTTTTTCTGAATAAGGTGTGTAAATAATAACGTGTATTGTGGAGAAATAACAAATCCATAAATACTTCTATTTTTTTACCTTTTCTCCAACATTAATAATAAAAAAATAATTTTATTCCCAAACTGAACAAACCAAAAGAACCTAAACCGAACCCAATAGAGTTACGTATATATTAAGTTATATATAAAATAAAATAAAAACTAAATTAAGCTTTGCATTGTACAATGCACAAGAAAGAAGAAAAACATGGTCTCCATCCAATGGCTGGACCAGGCCAAACAGTTCGAAAACCCTGTTTCTTCCCTCACATTACACAACAATTTGGTGAAGACTCAAGCATATCCGGAGACCTGTGAACATATATACAAAAAAACTCAGTTCCATTGGTCACTCACGATTACAGAGATTTCCAATGAGGAAGAAGACTTACATTTGTCCAAGACTTGCAAAATCAAAGCCAGGATCCATCTCTTGCACTATATCACTCGGTGGTTGTCCACACTCTTGCATCTTCTGCATAATCTCCATTATCTTTGTTGAGCTGTTTGGTTCGTTCTCGTACACCAAGTTGAGTTCTTTGATTAGTTCATACTGCCGAGAATAACGTTCGTATTCTTCTTTGTTTAGAGTGCTTTCATGCTCTTCTAGCCATTTCGGGTATCTTGCGCCGATCTCTTTCATTGGTTCATGAAGAATATCCTTCGATAATAGCTGTTGCATCATCGTGTCCACTATCGACTCCAAGTCCTAAACATGGAAAATATGAGATTCAAAATCTTGAACGAAAACTGCTATACATCATCAATACCTCTCTCTTTAAGTGGTTCTGAAAATTAATTCTCATCTTCATGTGTGATTTTTAGATAATATTATCACAATATGTCCTACGAATACAGCCTTTAAAGCTACTCTGCACTAACCTTAACGGCATAAAACTTTACATTTAAAAACTAAACTTAACATCTCAGCTCAGCTTAATGGTTTGAGTCCTTTGGGATGATCATTAGAAGCATCCCAAACGTTATAAACGCATCTCAGCTCACATAAGACATTAGTTTCAAGTTTCAACAATAACCACATGATGATGAATAAATAATTCTCAAATCAGACAACCAATTGGCAAAAGCTGAAATAAAAGAACAGGAACCTACTAAACCATGAAACACACAAGAAAAAAGATAACTAGAAATCGAATCTCCACTGAGATAACTACATTCACCATAGTAGTGATCAAACTAATCTTTATTCCACGAGAGAATACCAACTAAAATCTAATCAGAGCACTAGAAGTTAAAAGAGAACAATAACCTAGATAACTGTGACAGGATAGAGAGAACAGCAAGTAACAGCTTAGTCTTTGTATACTTTACCTGAGATCCAGTAAGATCCTCGAATTGCTTGATCCAATCTTCGACCATAGCATCATCAGAACCCGGAGGCTGCTGCTGCTTCGATGACAAGGACTCAAGCCCCTTGACCGTTTCTCTAGTTTGCTCTTTGAGCTTATTAAGAGCCTCTGCAACATGGTCCTGTTTTGCAACCTTCTCCTTTCCTTTCTTCTTGCTCCTCATATCTGGTAAACCCATTCCAAGACCCTGAACCCCACTTGGCAATGACTCCTTCTCCTTTTCATCACCATCTTCTTTTCTCACCCCTCCATTTCTACAAAACACCAAAGCTAATCAACACCTCGATTCCCACCAAAAACATAATTGAAAACAGAAACTTAAGTGAAGAGCTCTAAACTCAGATTCACAATAGCTAATCACAGTCTTAAACGAATTCAGAGAGATAGCGACATGGCATAAATAAGAAAAGGAGTAACCTTTGAGCTAGATTGAGATCCTTGAAATCATCCAAGGCGCCTGAGAAAGCCACACAGAAAACCCACAATTCTCAATTCTAGAAACGAAACCCGCAAAAGGAAAATCAGAAGACAATTACATTTCACCAATCACACCATTAGACAAATAGAATTCGTGAACACGCGAGGGTTGAATAGCAAAAATCAATTTAAAATCGTAGGGAAATTTACTATCGAGAAGCTCGTCCAAGTCATCGGTGTGAGTGTTGCTGGCCATTTTCTGGAGCCTCTCTCTTCCTCTCGACTGATGAAGAAGAAACGCAGATGTGGAAGACGAAGAGAGAAAGAAATATAGCAGGAGGAGAGAAAATAATTTTCAATGGCGGTGTTGTTCAATTTGATAATTCTAAAATTTTAATACGTCATCAGGCCCACAAAAGAGAAGCCCACAACTACATTATTTCGTAGCCCAATTACTCTCACCATCCGTATTTCCTCCCAAAACATTTTTGCTCTCGACTCCTCTCAGCAATGGCGAATACCTTAATGGCGACAACTCGTCCCTACGTTCTTCTCTCCTCCACAAGAGCGAGCTTCAGTCTCCTCTTTCAATCTCCTAAAAGACCGTTCGCTTCATTTTTATCAACTCTCTCATCTTCCGCCGTGAGAAGCACCAATTCGAGATGCGTGAGCGCCGTTTTGTCTCGTGGAGAGACTGTTGCGCCGTCGTCGATTTACAGCAGAGGAGTTTCTAGGGTTTCTGGGTTTGGTGTCGTTGACATTCGCAGCCGTAATTTCAGTACTAGATCCTCTCAAGTCAACGATGCTGGGTCCATTGATCAAACCCTTATGCAATCCATGGAGCAAAAGGTTAGATTTTTTTTTTTTTTGCTTCTCATAAACTAATTCTTAATTTTTTAGTGGGATTTAATCATTGTGTTTGATGTCTCAACTCGTCGTGATTATGCTGATTACTGAGTGTAGAAGTTAATTAGAAATTCTGAAGAATTGATTTGATACTTGGCATAAGTTTCTTTCTTCATTGGCAACATAAGTCAGTGTCGTTCATTGTGGAAAAAAAAAAAAAAAGTCAGTGTCGTTCATAGTTACTCTCATTAGCTCAAATGATCAAGACTATGTTATATCACTAAGTTAAGATCATTAAAGTGGAATCCTGTCTCAGAAGTCATTTGATTTTTCTGTAAATGTGATTAAAAAGCTCCACTCTTTTCCGGTTTATCAACGCATATGGTTTTTTTTTTCTGTACAGATCAAAGAACAATTAAACGCAGAGTCAGTTTCTGTCAAGGATATGTCTGGAGATGGACGCCATGTTTGGTAAGTACTCTGCATTAACTCATTTTTATCTTCCGAATCAAACGTTCTATTACCCATTACTGAAGTTTCAGATGATATATAGAGTTTATTGTAGTCTGTGAGATATAAGACGAGTTCGAGTTATAGTAAAAAAAACATCGATGATCGATTTGCTGTGTATTGTGTGGAAAACAGAATCACAAAAGCTTTCAAATTCAACCAGTATCATTCATCTTTACTTTGTAGAATCATCAAAGTTGAGGTTTAAGTTAGAACTTAATCCATTTTCTGCGACTGATGTAAGCTTGAATTTTTGTATTAGCAAAAACAGAATCTTACTTTTACTTGTCATATTAGATGATTCCATTAGTGAACACTAGAATTGCTTAATGCTTAATGTTTCTCTGTTTTTGTAGCATTAATGTGGTATCATCAGCTTTTGAGGGACAAACTGCAGTTAACAGACAAAGGATGGTCTACAAAGCGATCTGGGAGGAGCTACAGAACGTAGTTCATGCGGTTGATCAAATGACAACAAAGACTCCTTCGGAAGTTTGAAGCTTCAAGTTTTTCTACACACTAAAAGCATCAATATCTATTTATTTGTTTAGCAGACAAAGCTATTTGTTTTATCAAAAACAAATTTGAAATAAAGTTTTTGGATCTTTCTTCTTGTTGTTGATGTTCTAAGCAATTTATTTGTCCTCTCGCAACCCGTTCGCAAACATTACTTCTGAGGGTGGTTGCGGGAATATGCGTTTGATGACCTTCTTCTCTCGAGCGTTTGTGGTTGACGGTAGCGGGCGGTTGAATGCTACTGTTTATTTTCTCAAATGAGCTCACCTGAAAGCTATACAACGTTTAAATCTGTCACAAGTTTTAAATAAATTCTTTTAATTATTTGTTAACAATTTGGGACACAAGCTCATAGTACTAATGTCAATAAATCTTCTTCAACTAATTTTCTTAAATTTAATATTGATATTTGTAATTATGCATGTGATGTTTTGTCGTTTACAACTCACATATGTACATTACATAGCTGAATCTGGACTACGATACAACGATAACACTAGTCTATACATGTTTTAGTCTGTATAAATAAATTGGAATAAGAATTCTGTCATTTTATTATAATGATATGGTCTCCTTTTAAAAAAAAATGTATATACTATTATTGTTTATTTTTGTAATATACAATTTGTTTAACTATCTCACTCACAACCATACAACCAAGAAAATACCGCAAATTAAAACACATGTCTACGGTCCAATAACACTTAAATGCAACTGTTTAGTTCTTCAAATTTGTTCACCTGAAAACTACACCCATAAATCCACAACATTTAAACCAATCATGTCATAAATAATGTTTTAAACAAATGATTTTCTTAACATTTTGGGACATAAGCTAATACCTTCTATAACAAGGAGACTGCCTTGGGAAACAATGTTGTTACAGAATTCATAAAAAAAAAATATATATATATATATATATATATATTTAATGATATACGCATTACAATAATACAAGGAAACATTTACAATTCACAATGTCTTCAAGTGAGAAAATGAAAGGATGAACAGTATGTGAACACAAACAATGTTCATGCCTTCATTTTCTCTCCAAATTGAATACATGAACATATATATATATATATATTCGTGTAGAAAATCACTACAGGAATATTCTATAAAAAAAAACAAAACAGGAACTGTTTCATATCAGAATTGAACTCCTGCGGCAACGGCGGTGTTAACGCCTCGGGGGAGTTTTCATAGGAAGAGTTGGTCTCGCTTCGGCATGTTATGTCTTTTTGATGGACCTGAAGGTGGAACCGGAAATACTCGATGACCCTTGTGATGATGATGATGATGATGATGAGATTTCTTGTCGGCGGTTTTTGCATTACTCTTAAAAAATTTCAGTAACGGGAATGTTGCTCCGGCGGTTTTTGACGACAGAAGGATAAGGAGAAGAAGTAATAGCTGTGAAAGAGACATTTAGAGAGACTTTTTGTGAAGAATATCTTTGTCTCTAGCTTGTTGCATCGGAACAGTATATGTGTAATATATTATTAATATATGATTACGATGTCTTTATTAAATTTTATTTTAAATTTTTATTTTGCTGTAACGCTTATTACTCTGGCCAGGGTTTTGGTGTTTTTGTGTGGTTACAAGTGTTCATGTAGCAAATAAAGCAAGCCTGTAATTAATGAATGTCTTAATTTGCTTCACTTTTTTCACACTCCAATCGAACCTTTTTGACTTCTTGTTCATCAATATATATTATATGTAAAATCAAGATTTACAATCATCACTATATTTATTCTTCTTTGAACATTTTGTAATTTTTTCTTGCAAAATTGAAGTTATGTGCATTTCTTCCCTTCACTGATCAACTCTTCTCCTCATCGTCTTCTTCCTCCCATTTCCTCAACCTGATGCCTGATAAGAATCCGCAAAGTTTGGATCAGCATTTCAAGATTAAGACTATTCATGATGTCCAAGACATAGCTCTCTGTATTTCCAGGTTCAGCCTATTACCTATCAGCTTCATATCGCGATCTCTGTAGAGAAAGAATTGAACTGAGAAAACATTCTTCTTCGACTTGTTTTCTCTCTCGAGGAAGATACATGCAAGCAAAGAGCTACATTTTAGGATTCTATATATATTTTAGACCAAGTTATTTGTTTTTTCTTCTTGTTTGGTGCCGTGTTGTTCAGGTTGCGAACAGAATAATTACCTAAATGAAAATCACGGTTCACTAGGGTAAGTAGATTTTTAGAAATTTGTTTTGTCGATTATATACAGTGTCCAATGTTTTAATATAGCCTGTGCAAATTTAAATAGATACATTTTTTTAATCTTACAGAAAAACAAAAAAAAAGGTTTCAGTTTTGGTCTAATTCGAATCAGGTTGACCCACTTTATTTATTCAGATATTACCATCACCCCTGGCCCTGCATTTTTGACATTTTACATTTTAAGCACATTTTCAAATTTCTTATGGTAATTAAAAGTTTTCTGGGTATTTTTGTTAAATATATAGTATAGGGGTCAATCTAGAATTTATACCAAATTATTCGGCAAAAAGTAAAAACAAAATATGTGGAAGAAGAAGAACTCACAGGATTCTGAAGAAGATACAAACATTACGCAGCGGTTGGAGGAAGATGAAACTGTTCGACGCGCACTGTCACCTTCAAGACCCCAGGATTATCAGCAAAGCTCCTCAGCTCATCTCCTCAGCCGTAGCTTCCGGAGTCTCTGCCTTCGCCGTCAATGGAGTCTGCGAGGTTCGATTTTGTCAGAGAATGCAATACTGATAGCTTTAAACAATTTAGGAGCTCGGATTTGTTCTAATTGAATATTGGTTTCGTTTGATTTGGTCCAGAAAGATTGGAATTTGGTCAAAGAGATGGGAGCAAAATACCCTTCTGTTGTCCCCTGCTTTGGAATTCACCCATGGTACGAATGGTCTATATATATAATATAGCTTACAAATCACTGGTAAATTTTACAAAAGTCAGTGTCTTTTTGGGTGTTTGTGATTTGAGTTCAGGTATGTAGCAGAGAGGAGTCCTCAATGGTTTGAGACATTGAAGAGTTTGTTTGAGACCACTCCTTCTGCTGCTGTCGGAGAAGTCTGTCCCTCGTCTCTTTTAATTATATTTATGCAACTTTTGTTAAGTTTTTTTTGAATTTCATCACATTGATTTGATAAAAAGCCTGTTCATGGAGTCTATGATTTTTTTTGTTTGTTCAGATTGGTTTGGACAAAGGGTCTAAGGGAAGGGAGATTGATTTCTCAGACCAGGTTTCAGTATTGCAAAACAAAAACCTTGTACTTAAAATGGTTTGTGTTCTTTATCCAAAGTGCTTACTTAAGACTTCATTTTATTTTGGAATCCAGGTTGGAGTGTTTCGTCAACAGCTCGAACTTGCAAAGGAATTGAATAAACCTGCGTCAGTTCACTGTGTCCGTGCGTTCGGGGATCTACTAGAGATAACAAAGTATGATCTTTTGCTTCCTGTCGTGTAAGAAAACAACAGTGAATATCTTTAGCTTTTTAATCTTATGTAAGTGTGATGTAATGCAGATCTGTGGGGCCTTTTCCTGCTGGCATCATCCTTCACTCGTATTTGGGCTCTGCTGAGATGGTTCCTGAATTTGCTAAACTCGGTGCATATTTCTCCTTCTCTGGTTTCCTTATGTCAATGAGTGAGAAAAAAGCCAAGAAGATGTTAAAAGCGGTAAGGTTTCCGTATTTCTCTACACCAAAATTACAGCTTTAGGTGGAACGGAATCTTGATTTCACAGTTTATTGGTAGGTTCCTTCTGATAGGATCTTATTGGAAACTGATTCACCCGATGCTCTACCAAAGTCCGAGTCGGGTGATCTCTACTTTGTAGAAGGAGATCCTTCTCTACCTGAAGAAGGAAATTCATCTCAAGATCTTGGTTCTGCTCCAAATGACAAGTCTAATGCTTCTAGCGACTCAATGAAGCTGCCAAAGGAAACACTGAATCATCCGGCTAATATTCATACCGTGTGTTCTTGCTTCATGACTACTTAAAACCGATCTTCTTTTTTTTTATAGATCCATGGAAAATTTAAGTCTCTGATCGTTTATGGTTACAGGTACTCGGGTATGTAGCGCGGTTGTTGGACATGAAGAAGGAAGAACTCGCAGAGCTAAGCTATAGGAACGCTGTTCGGTTATTCTCTTACGCTGGTTCAAAAGTTGCTTCTTGAGACAGGTAACTGATTGTCTTTCGTCGTTATTGTCTCGGAACAACTTTTGATGTTATATAGAATGGATTTGTGCGTTTAGGTGCTGGTGATGTCTCTAGTCACACTCAACACATGTATCATGAGCTCCTAAGATATAGTTGTTTTTGTCATCAATCTGTTACGACTTCAAGTCTTTTTGTCATCACCCTGTTACGACTTCAAGTCTTTGAAGTTTACTTAGATTGTATCAGTGTTATGGACTTTTACTTTTCTTTATATACTAAGGTTGTTAATTTTTCTAATTTTGTGTGATTTGGAAGAAGACAAAGCCTGTTATAAAGTATGTAAAACAAACAAAAAAAACATAAATGGATGAATAAGAGTAAATTTACATACAGTTTCTTATTTATTTTGAAGAAAAAATGAATAAAAAATAAATTTGCTCTTTGCTTAATTACCGGGTAATTTCACTGTGAGTATGAACTAATTAATCCTGGTATTTACATTTTCTCGGAGAATCCCACTGTATCCTAACGTTTTCCTATATCTCGGGAAGAGCCATACTTTTCTTGATAAGATCTTTGTGTTTTCTTTTACTTTTGAAATTACCCACTTGACTTCATTTTCAAAAGTAGATTTTTGTTTCTGAAAAGTTAAGCCTTTGATGCTCTGTTTTCTTCTGTTGTTGCAGAACGCATGCAATGAGTACTCTGTTTAGCCTAAGATACAGACCAACTCACAAATCTACAATCCTTCTCTGAAAATCGAAAAACTGCTAGAAAACAAAATGTCAGATTCAGATAGGATGAACAACAACGAGAACGGGTAACATTTCTTATTCTCTTCTGTACAAATTCTTATTATCACCGATTCACCATTCCAATTTAACACATGATCTCCTTAATTATTATCTTCATCGCTTGAAGAAATTTCAAATCAGCATCCGACTCTCCCGATCTTTGTATCTACGTAAAGGGCAAACCATTTCATTTTCACAAAGTAAGTTTGTTTCGATTCTCCATTTAATCCATCGCAAAAGATCAAATAAAACCGAGACTTTTGTTTCCTAACTGTTCTGTTTTTTTTTTGTTTTTGTTTTTGTGTGTTCAAAGGAACTTTTAGCCAAGAGATCGGCGAAAGTGAGCTTATTACTCGAGCGAAGCAAGATCGATGAGCTTCGTTGGATCCTACTTGATATAGAAGCTGACCCGTATGCTTTCGAGCACGTCCTTCAGTTCTGTTATGGCTACAAAGTCAAGTTTTCGTCTGATAACATCGTCTCTGTTCTCTGCATCGCGTATTACTTGGAGATGAACGAAGAACACAGCCCTGGAAATTTGTTGGGCAAGGCATCTGAGTTCTTAGAGAAGCAAGTTCTGCCGTGCTGGAACGAGACAGTAGTTGCTCTTCGTTCAGGGGACAAGAGCCTCGACAAGCTAGCCGATGAAGGACTCGTGGATCTCTTCTTCGAATCTCTTATCGAAAAGGCTTCCTACGACCCGAGAGTCCTCGGTGAACCGATCAGGAACAGTGAGGAAACCAATGAGTATAGACCTAACCCTAGGAGACGGTTGTTCACTATCGACTGGAAGTCGGAAGATTTGTTCACAGTCCCACTTCGGCTATACGAACCTTTGATGATCCGAGCAGTGAAATCACGCAGCATCCCCGTGGAATACATCGTTTCATCGGTCTGCAGTTACGCGAAGAAATGGGTCTTCGACGCAGAAGAAAGCATTCTAGGGCAAAATAGAGAAGCAGTCGAAGCGGTTGAGAGGCTTTTGCCTCATCAGAGAGGGCTAGTGTCTTGCGAATTCTTGTTTGAATCGCTAAAACATTCGATCTGGTTAGAAGCTAGCTCCGAATGTCGAAATGGATTCGAGATCAGAATCAGCAAACAGCTCGACATGGCTAAACCTGCAGATCTCAAGATTCTGTCTCGAGGCTACGGAGAGAAACCTGAGAGTTTCGAAGATATCGAGCTCGTTAAAACCGTCGTCAAGAGCTTTTACGCTAACTACGCCAGCGAAGACCCCGAAGATGTTTCCCAGTTCGTGAAAGTGGCGAAACTGTTGGAAGAGTTTCTCTTCTTGGCTGCTAGTGAGGCTTCTCTGAAGCTCGAGGCGTTTGTGGAGTTAGCGGAGACCACAGTGACTATTTCGCATGGTGTTTTGATGTGTTCAGATGGAATTTACAGAGCCATTGATGTTTTCTTGGAGAGCCATAGATACCTGACTGAGTCTGAGAAGATGGAAGCTTGTAAAGTTCTTGATTGTAAGAAACTCTCCCAAGAAGGATGCGAGCAAGCCGCGAAAAACCAGAGGCTTCCTCTTAGAGTCGTTGTTCAGGTTTTGTTTGTTTCTCAGCTTCAGATACGAGATACAGTGGCTAAGGAGATTACGGGTGTAGAAGAGAAAGTAGACGAAGAAGAAGGGGAAGAGATTGGGGTTTCGAGCGATGAAGATGTGATGGAGAAGATGAGTAATAAGCTGTTAGGGCTTGAGATTGAGAATCATGAATGTGTTGTTCATCGTTGGAAGAAGAAGAAGACAAGTGTGTGGAGAGAAGTGAAGAGGAAGTTTGGCTGCTTGACTTCTTCTTCGTCTCCTTCAGTTGATGCTTGCACCTGTGAGGTCAAGAAGAAGAAGAGGAAGAAGATTCATCATCACTACAACAAATAATTAATTTAATAAAACTAAATCACTCTGTTTTTTTTTTTTTTTTTATTACAGCTGGTCCAGGGCCTGTTCTTGTTCTGTTTCTCCATCCTGACATTGGGTGAAAAATTTGCAGGTTCTGTTTTTGTCTTTCCTTTTTGGTTACTGATTATTTTTGTTTATTTCATCAAAAACCATTACAATAACAAAATTAAAGCTACAATAAGAACAAATTCTTATATGGGTTACACATTGTATTTAGTTCTTACTTAAAAGAAGAACATTCCTCGTCTCACACGTCAACGAGAATAAGCTCTCTCAAAAGCCTCTCTTTCCTCAGTTCAAATTCTGGTTTACAACCCCAAAAACCGATCAGTTCCTGATCCGCGCGCTAAAAAACCGATCATTGAGTATCATCGAATCATTTGTTACCGACGGATAATCTCAACGGAGTTCTATCGCAATCGCCATCAACGCTGCTCTCGTCATCATCGCTTCTTGAATTCAACCTAACATTTTCTTGCTTGTCATGGTCGTCGTCCATTCGCGTATGGTTTTGCATCAGATTATGGGAACTCCCCTCGTTACGATCTTCCTCTTCTTCTTTCGCTCCTTCTTGATCCCCAAGAACCACCACATTCCCGAACTGCACGTGCTTCTCACCATCCCTCGGCGAGACCGCAGCGACGGAATCTGAAGCTGACGTGGCGTTTTCAGGGGTGTTGGTTTTCTCCTCGCCTTTCTCCGGATCGAAATTGGCAACGCTCTTGCCCACAGAGACCGTGCAAGGCTTGAGGACGCAAGAGTAAAGGTAAGCCAAGAACCAGAAGAGCCAAGGGACACCGACGAAGAACATACCCGCTTGTAGAAACAGAGGATTCGGATCAGGGAGGAGGAGGTAAAGTCCGAGAAGGACTCCTCCTGAGACGATACATGAAAGAAACAGAAGAGTGACGATGTATATTCTTGGATCACCTTTTCTCTGATCCATTCGATTTCACAACCACTGAATCTGAAACACGATGCAGAAGACCAGAGATATCGTGTTTTTTTTTTTTGTATGTCTTCTCTGAATCAGACTTTGAATTTTCTCTGTTTTTTTGTTTGTTTTTTTGTTTTCCTTTCTCGGGACAATTGTGTGAACGAAAAAGTGGGTGTAACAGAAAACTGAAAAGAGCGCTAAGTGCGGGCTTAGTTTTTATTTATTTATATATTTGCCTTTTTTGCTAAATTACTGTGAAGAATTTTATTATATAGTAGTGTCGTCGTGAAGTTGTTCGAGACTTTTACGCTCTAAGAGTGAAAAATATGAAATGTAAAAAGTTATTTTAATTGCTAGATACTAACGAAATTATTCTGGAAATATAATCAAATGAATTTGTTTTACAGAAAAATAGTATGGTAGTTTTTGTGTGTTATTTATATAGTATGGTAATTGCAGTTTGATTTGTTATCTCAGTCATTTTGTTTTTTTAGTTATGTATTATGGTAGTTGCAGTTTGATTAGTTATCATATAAGATCACGTCATATATATATATATATATAAATATATAATAAGACTACATGATACTTATATATGGTATGGTTATCGTGCTATCAACCAAGATGCGACGAACGTTCACGATCTATATATATAAAACATGAGCTCCACTTTTCAAAAACCAATCTAATAAATATTTTTTTGGTGTAGCCTTGATATTTTCCACATTTTTCACATGATCACATCTACAAGATGTAGCCTTTTCACAGGGAAATGAAACATCCGTTCATTAAGATGACATCATCCACATGTGGACATACAATTCTCAAAATGTAAAATTATAACGTAAGGCTAGGCTGTGGGAAACAAAAGTAGTAACAACGTAATATTATTAGTAGAACCGGAATGCTACAAGACAAAGTTAGATCGATTGTTTCTTGAGGATGATATGATCCTCTCATCACGTTGAGTACTTGACTGTTGTGTGGTTTCGGATGTAGACATTTTGCACTAAAGCATTGCATCAGCTATTTGGCTCAAGATCGTATACAAAAATACAATACACATGCAAGCTCACAAAAAGACAACATGATTCATAAGATAATATCTATTTATTTGTGTGGGTTTTTTATATAAATCATGTGTGATTAACTTGCTTGGTTTAAAGCTTGTGTGATTAGTTTGTTTTTAAAAGATTTGAGTGATACATTCCCGTGTCTTGGTTTTTATAACTTTTATGGAGGAGATTCTTTCAAGACGATTCATAATCCAAGAAGACTAATTATGGTTTACGCTTTTCTTTTCTTTTTAACTCGTTTAATATAATAGCGTGTGTAATTTGATTTGAGTTGGATCCCAATCCCAAAGGACCCACCATGCCCGTAAAAATGGTACCACTCCAAACTCGATGATCAGTATTCAGAAGGACGTTAAAATCTCTATTTTGTTTGGATTGTAATAAAGATTCTTACTCCAACTTTTCTTCTGTCAACATGTTCTCTTTGGAGTATATGTGAAGGTCAACATGTTCACATTTACCCCTCTTGGTTTAGGTATTCTATATGAAAATGAACGGTGAATGTTTTCGAACCGTGTGTTTTAATAGTATGTATTATACACGCTTTTATTTGTAAATATGAATCGCAACTGAAAACAAAATTTGAAAGAGGATGTAACGTTTCTGCTTTCCTTAGACTACTTTTGTAAACATGAACTGCAACTGCAAACAAAAGCTTTAGAAGAATGGTGCATGTTGTCTGATTAATTAAAAAATGTATTGTCTGATTAAAACATAATTACACAAATCAATGCTACACTTTATACATAGTCACACTGATTATCAATGCTAACAATAACAACAAAAAAGTAGAAAAAGAAGGAGCTGGCAACGACAAGATGGCCGCTGATGGAGTTGGAGAAAAAGGAAAGATGGGAGAAGAATTTTGATCTCTTTTACTTTCTTTTTAGGTTTGTGTTACTTTTTTAAGAACCCTACTTCGGTTTGTTTTGTAATCATTAATTCGAGTATAAATATAGTAATACTTTTATCATTTATTAACATAAAAACCATACAATATTCCATAATTTCAGGAGGGAACAAAATACTTAAAATAATGATCACTTTGCTTCATCCTTGTAAAAGTGATCACTATTAAATATTAATAGTGAACCGTATGATGAGTGTTGACAAAAAAATAAATAAATAGTGACTGTATAATTTAATCAGTACAAACTAAAATAGTAAGTACAGTAAAAAAAGTCTGATGAGAATTTCTGTTTCATTAACATTTCTTAAAAGAAGAAAGTTTACGTAATTTTAATTGGGTAAACTGTAATTTCTTGATCGATCGTACCTCGGGAAGGTGAATCTTCCCGTCGATACGGATCTCTTCATCGCCACTGAGCTCCGTACCAGAAAACTCGAAACCCCGCTTCTCTGATTCGCCTCCGTCGGTGGATGCGTCTTCCCTTCGCCGTGTTCATCTTCCCCTTCCTCTCGCCGCTGCCGCGAAGTTCCTACGCCGGCGGATTCCTCGTCTCCCTCTTCGTCTTCGATCTCCCGCAGTACATCAGCGATCGACACCACTATGCCTGAGCTCAACGATACCGATCTCCGAATCGGCTGCGGATCTTCATCCTCCTTTGTGTCCCGCTGCTCTTCCGGTGGCTGTGGTCGCGATCTGCCGCTAATGATCCGAGATCCGATTCCCAGATCTTCGATCACGACGACGGATTCGCCGGTTCGGTGTTCGTATCCGGCCATCCTCGAGCTGAGGATCTCCGCTGCTCCTCCACCGCGATTATCAGATTCCGTGGCGATTGGATGAACGGAACTCGATTGGCTAGCGACGGCGGTTGGATTAATTCCGGTGACGAAAGCGCGGCAGAGCGGACAATTAGAGTGAGATTTCAACCAAGTATCGATACAAGGAAGATGAAACGCGTGATTGCATTTCGGCAGCAATCGCAAGCTCTCGTTCTCTTCGAATTCGCTCAAACAAACAGAGCAATCAGAACAATCGACGATTCCATCGCCCTTTCTGTATTTGTAAACTGTAATCGACTTGATCAGAGAGTCGTTGAGGCCATCACCGGCCGCCGCACTAGAGTTTGTTTGCCTGGACTCGGTGGCGGAGGAGAATACACCGCCGCCAGGAGTTTCGGAGGAGGAGTCTTCGCGGCGGCGGTGACAGTACTTTGAGATGAGAGTGTAGTAGCTGACGAGGACGAAAGCGCTGGCGAGGATTCCGATGAGGGCGATGAGGAGAGGGGAGAAATTGGAGGAGGAGGAAGATTCGTCTTCGTCGTCGAGGAAGAAAGAAGGAGGAGGAGGAGGGAAGATGAGGTAACACCATTGGGGACAGTAGATGTTGCAGACTCCCTGAGAACAGTCGTTGTAGGAATTATATGGAGACCATGGATTACGGTTCGACATCGAACCCATGTTGATGGTGTTTGCGTTGCACAAGACACAAAGAGGAAGAAGAAGAAGCAGAGAGAGAGAGGAGATGGTGAGGTGAAGTGTCCTTCTCTCTCCTTTATCTTTGGGGGCTCACTGTGATAAAGAGTGTATTTTTCCTGTGTTGATTAATTAATATCTTTGGACAAATCGTAATTATTATTTATATAAAAAAGATATGTGTTTTTTTTTATTAGCGTCTATGTGAATGTTTAACATCATTTTACAACTAACTCTCTTTAAATAAAATTAAAATATGTTTTTGGACAGAATGTATTATGTATGTAGTTATGGTCTCGCTTTACGTAAAGCGAATGATTTGGCGGTAACCTGTTGGTCTCTTATTAGTTATTATATACAAACACAATGATCTTTTGTGGACAATAGCATTATTTTTAAGAGTGTTGGCACAGAGAAAGCGGATAAAATAGAAACATTAGGATGTAAATATATATTTGTTTTTTTTAGATAGTATAGAACTAAAAGGTCCAGAGATTGATCTTTGATGCTTTACCTTTATTATATTCGTTTCTTTTCTTTTTGAGTATTCTATATCTAAGTAAACAAACGAATTTACTCGCGGAGCGTTTAAATATAAAAACCAGGAGTAGATAATACATTTTGTGTGTGAATGAATATCTTTAAGCGTTGTGGGATAGTTTGAGAACGATATACAGATGAGAAGATAGGTTTGATACTTATCAGTTTAATTGTTTGGTAATGAGAAAGTTACATATGTAGAGGTTAAGTACCTTTCGTTGAAAGCATAAAATTAGTTGGTAAATTGTTGTTGAAGAAGACTACCTATAGAGGAAGGAGTCTTGACTCTTGAACATGGGCCAGCCACGTGGAACTGCAAATAATTCGTGTGTTGTGGATATATTTGTTTCGTTATATATGATTGTCCGAGTTTGATATCCTAACCTACGAGGCATTGAAATGTTCATGTTGCGCTCTAGTTTCTAGAGCTTCTAGTCGATGAATATATTTGTTGGGATCATGATTAATCACGTACAAAAATAATTGTAGCCACAGACTCGCAGCAAATAGAACTACGAAATATGATGCAAGGATCCTTGATTTTTTCATCGTGCAATAATTTGCATACGACAGAAATATGAAATCCAAATTTTATGATATATAATTAGTATTTTGATCAGCAACACTCTCAATTTTACGCACAAACCAGTGATTAATTTAAAAAATAATAAACTGTAATCATTTTGGGTTGCAAATGGCTAAACGTATGTCTTATTTCGTGTTGAGAGGAACAAAAAATCGATTATTTTCAAAGCAACCCAAAGATGAGATAGTTAAACAAACTTATTTTTGATTTTTCTAACCAAAACTGAATATTTAAGGGTAAGCAAGTGTCTCTTTTCATGGTTATATTAGAAACTGACTTTTTATTCTTTGGGAAGGAAATATTAATCAACATTTTATATTAGAAGAAAATCCATGGGAAATAACGAATTAGAGTACAAGAAAAGAGAGTAATCTTTGTATGCTCATTTTGAAACGCAATGTTGCGAAAATAAACAAAGTGATGTAAGTAACAAGATAACTTTTTAAGGTCAATAAGAATTAGTAACTTAGCAGGGAATCTTGTAAGTGCGTAAATAAGCAATCATTCAATCTTTAACTACTACTCACGTGGTGTCTAATTCCAAGGAGTTCAATCTATTACTACTAACTATTTGAGTAGTATTATAAAGATGGTTAGGAAAAAAAAAAAGATTCGGATGCTTCAGCTTGAGTCCAAAGTTACTGTCCATTACAAATACAATACGTACGTAAAGAGAAAAAAGACCCAATAAACATTACAAATGATTCTCTTCTCATTATAAAATTCGTTTGTGTATTCTTTCTTAAATGTTATAATTTCATCTAAGAAATATATGAGGATTTAGGAGGCTAAAGAATCTGATATGTTGTTTACTCACATCGAGGAGGTGGTTGAGTTAAGACGACATTAAACTTGTCCTTTTTATATGCTGTTTTTGTCGACATTATTTCATTATCCATAAGATTCGTCTACAACGCGTAACAAAGAGGAAAACGCAACATAAGTGTGAACATTTTTCTCACCGCTTGGTTCAATAGTGACACGTTAATTTGCAGTCGACATGTAAGCCCATAATAAGCCCATTAGAGAAGAACGGAATAGATCGGTTCGGTTTTCTCCTGAATGCCACGGTTGGGTACTAGTCAAAACCGTTCTTCTTAACCGAAGCTGGGAACTAATAACCGATTTAGCGACTGAGATCGGAGAAGGAGAAGAAGAAGAAGCGCTCGAGAGAGAGAGAGAGAGAGGGCCATGGGAATCTCCCGAGCTCGTTCAAGCATCGTTTGCATTATTCTGTTACTCTCACTGTGTCTTGTTCCCTGTGTTTTCTCCAAATCTCCTCGTCCCATCTCCGTAAGTCTCGCACATATCTCTGTGTTCGACTCAGCTGATATATGATTGCTGAATTTATGATTTTTGTGGGGGTGAAATCAATTTTGCAGGATGTGGAGATAAGACAGAAGAAGAGTGATTGCTATGCTGATATAGAGAGGTGAGTCTACGAGGCTTTGTAATGGCAAGTTTTGTTCGAGTCTCTCTCTTGGAGAGTGGCTTCGCTCTCGATCACGGAATTGCTTCCTTTTGAGAAACTTTCTTGATGCTTAGATTTGATTGTTCCCTGTACTATCCTGAGATTTGGGAAAGATTTTTAGCTTGATTCTTGGTTTGCATTCTTAACTGATTGAGATTATGAAAGGTTGTAGCTTGATTTTTTTGGTTGTGAATCACTGGAGGATAATTTGAACAAAGTTAACATCCCCTGGATTCAAATTCTATAGATTAGTTAGCAAATTCGTGGGCTCTTGTTGTTTTCTTTCGTCATCTTGGCTCACTTTTGTGTTTTGGAAAACAAGCAGTGGGTTATGGGGTTGGCAATGCAAATCTTCTCCGATAGCAAAGGAGAACTGTGCGCTGCGATGTCTTTCTCCGGTTTGCTATGAACTCATTTACGAGAGTGATCCGGTGAGGATTGTAAAACGATGATTGATTTATCTGTAAAACCATGATTGATTGTTCTGTCTTTTTTTGATGCATTGTGTTCTTTTTTTTTTCGAGCAGCTTGAAGAAGGCGAAAAAGATTTGATTAGGAGCCAAGAGTACAAATACTGTATGTACAAGTAAGTTTGAAACGACGATTCTATCTTTGCTTCATCCATTTTCTGGAACTTGAAAACTCAGTTGAGTCTCAGTTAGTTGAAAGACAATGCGAATGATTAGTGGATATGTAAAGTTCTTTTATGTCTCATTCAGTCCACATACATCATATGTAGATGATTGATGTGTTTTTGCAGGTCATCGATCGGTGAAAGCCTAGACGGTGTTCGCGGCAGCTTTTGATAGAATCAGACAAGAGTTTCTTCACCTTCTCTCGTTCTCAATCGAAACTTTGTTCTTCGACCTTTACCAGAAGCTAAGCTCTTGAGTTCGTCATGTTCGTTTCAAAAACGCCACTTGTATTTACGTTTTTACATGTGAAATAAAATCGCAATTCTGCATATATTTATGGTTTTTGTAGTCTAAACATACGTAGAAACGATGAGAAAATTTACTATTGAATTTTGGATTTGACTGAACAAACTTGGCAACACACACAGAAACAGAGTTTAAAATTATTGACATCATAACACACCCCTAAAATAATTTCTAACAATAAAACTCATCACATTAGGATTTTGACTAACGTAACAACAGAACCTAATTTCAAGTAATCATTCATAGACGCTCCCCTTGCTCACGAGCAATAGAAGCAGAGAGGATGCCAAGGTCTCGATTGAGAACAGTCAATGCAGCTTCACACTCTGATACAATCCTGGTTACAGAAGATGGCTCTCCGGCCACTGTTCCCGATGATCCAATCGAAAGTGCTGCATGTGAGTCTCTTAGGTTCTTCAAGTTCCCTAGGAACTGTCACCAAAACAACAACACACAACTCATTTCCTTTCATTGTGTTACCACAAGCAAAGTACAACTTGGAGAGAAGAGAGCTACTCGATTTAGTTGATATGATCGAATATTAATAGAGAAGGAGACATTTGGGGTACCTTCAGAAGCATATTATATGCCTCCAGTAAACGGTTTGCAGCAGGACCAAAACCATGTAGCTGAGGCACTTCCATCATATGAGTCCATGGACGAATTTCCTGCAAAATCGATGCATACCGATAAGGATCCAACGTTTCATTTGCCAATTTCAGGAAAAGCAAGTCAATTCATAAGATATATTCAGATAGAGGAAAGTAGTTTAATGTTCATTAAAGCTCTTAGCAGATTTTCCTATCTATAATAAAATCCAGAACTTAAACCCTTTACTGTCAGCTGATATAGGTTAAGAAGGAGAGAGAAAGAAGAACACAAATACCTTTGTGTAGATTGTGTTGAACGCCCTAGCAGTTTCAAGAAACGATCCTAAACGAGCCCTTAGTTGAGTTTCCACTTCTGCATATTCTTCGTCCGGGTTGTAGGCATGCTAAAAAGAAGATACCAAGGAGAAAAAGACATGTTTAACTAAAACAATTTTTGAAGACAGTTAAATAAAGCGCAAAAAAAAACTGAAGAAAACAAGAGAAAGACTGTTGCCTCCTATTTAAAAGTCAGTATTTGATGAAGTAGTATTGAGTGTTCATAATAAGTATTAGGTGGTTTATGAAGTTGAAGTCTTGGTTGCATCAGAAACAGAAACTAACTTATAACATTTTCAGATAGAGAAATAGGAGCTATATCTTAAGCAAACCGTATTTGGTTTACAGGGAAATGTGTGTTAAGCAACAAGTTGAGTGAAATAATAAAAGATCATTACACATGAATATTTCGTCTCTAATGGAAACAGCATATTGGTCCGGTGAGTCATGTAGTTCACAGTCAAAACATAACTTTTCAATATGGAGCAACCAAAACACACCTTTGCTGCCAGGTCATCGACTTTTTGCTGAAGATTAGAGAGAATCTTGGCCTGTTCTGAAAGCTTTGTCTCCAGTTCTGAAACATCTGGTCTGCAAAGAAACTTTGATTATCAATACAGAATGCCACTACATCTGCTGAAATATGAAGAAAGAATCTACGGACTAAGGTTTGCACGTACAATAATAGTATAACTTAAAGCTAGTATCACATTGACACTTCTGAGGCCAGCTAGATCTGGAAGCAAAGGTCAAGGATGGCTTTGAAAACACAAGTCGAGAAAAAAAGATATAATTAAGTAGCTGCGAGCGAATAAAACACATTGTTAGCCACATCTAACGGGATTCATGGTAGCAAGTTTTATATGTTGGTTCGGAAAAGTAAGTTTATTATATCTTCAATTCCTCTTTGGGCAATCCATAACACAGAACTACTAAATAACTACAAAAGGTGCTATAACTTGGAGATAACAGGACTACAGGAGGAAATAGTTCTTACAATGGATATATTGACTGGATCTGCACATCAGCAGGGAAGAGTTTGCATTCCTCAGAAAATATCAGAGACTGTCTCTCTGCAATAGCATCTATGAGCTGGATATCTTTGGCAACTTGCTCATCAATACTGAAGGAAAAGAAAAATCACTGTAATGCTCGAACAAAGGAAGAACCTAGAAGACGAAAGACTACAAAATGCTAAACTAATGTTACAAACTGCGGAAGATATCAAATATAAGTGTTATATCAACCTCCACTCTGGATTATCTGAGAAGAGGCTTGCCTCCACTAAATCAACAATATTGCGAAGCATTTCCATCCGATCTTCATAGGTTCCATGTCCCTAATGAAGATCAAAGAAAATTCAGCCATCGATAACTTAAACTAAGCTTGCACTTTAACAAATCATGGTACTCGAACAAATATCAGTAAATGCAAAAACCCCAAACAAGTTCAGAAATACAAAGATAGTGTAGCGATTTTGAACTAGCTTACTTGAATGGCCTCTATATCTACGGTTGGTGTAATCCCCAGAAACTTTGCGATCTCAGCCAAATCTGAAAACGAGAAGTTCACTTACACATCAAAACTAATAAACCGTTTGTACAACAACATAATAGCAAGGCAATATTACTTTGTCGAAAGGCCAACACGATCAAAGAAGCCGCTTACATTGAATACGAACAGTTTCTTCATCACGAACTCCAGCATCTCCTTGTAGATTTTGCTGTGAGAAAGGAGATTTATCACCTAATAACCTTCAAGATACCAAAGCACAACAATACGTCAACCACATATATGTATCTCCATCCATACTTTCACTATATCGATGCCAACCACGCAATTTAAACAGACCCAATTCTACATTGAACACTGAGATCAAACACTGTGAAAATCAAACGAACTAAAACGATTCGAAGTTGTGATCAGACTCGAAACTCAAAATGTGCGGGTTCAATTGATCTTAACATCGAGAGTGAGACTCATAAACTGGGAGTGTAAGAAGAATTACTTGAAAAAGAGCCATTCGAGAAGAGCATAACGTTCCATCCCAGCGAAGAGGAGAGACTGAGCAGGCGCATTTGCCCTAGGGTAACTCAGCAGCGCCAGCTTCTTCTGTATCTCTTCCATCTGCTTCGCCGCCATTTTTACTCCCCACCGATCCCGGCGACGGCTTCAACACCGATCCAATCTCGAGATCTGACACTAGCCTCCTCGCGTCGTTGGTTTCTCCCAAAAAACTCAAAAACTGCCCTAATTTACCAAATTGCCCTCTTTCATCTTCAGCGTGTTAAAAACTAAAAACAGTAAAAGCAAAACCACGAAGAAAAAAATCGAATTTAAATGAGCCCCATGTTACCAAATATTATTATACTGTAAACAAAATAATTGGAATAATAAAAGTCGAAGGAGTCGCAAAGTCCAAGAACAGAGCTTTCAAAAATTTTGTATTTCCCAACGGATCTCTGACGTTTGGTCCAGAGCCGACGACGACCTCCAGCCAAAACTAGTTTTATCTCCTTTTCTCTCTCTCTCTCTCTCTTTTTTCTGTGTTCGTGCTTAAGCAAAATGATCTCCCTGAATCTATCTGCTTCCCTAAACCCGGGTCTTCTCCACAAGACCCGGACCCAGCAAAACCCGACCCGTCTATCTGCTCTTCCCCTCTCCGGCGACAAGCCCTTCAGTTGCAGATACCCACTAGGGATTTCACCGATTCCCAATCTTCAGATTCGCGATTCCGCCGCCGAAAAACCCTTGCTTTCATCTGGGCTTTTCTCGAGAAGACCTAGATCCATCGCTGCAGCCGGGTCACCCGACCCGAACCCAGAAGGCGAGCTCGAGAGATCCGTCTCCGATGAAGCGGCGGAGAAGAAGGAGAAGAAAGCGAAGACTCTTCAGCTAGGGATCGTGTTCGGCCTCTGGTACTTCCAGAACATCGTCTTCAACATCTTCAACAAAAAGGCACTCAATGTCTTCCCTTACCCGTGGCTTCTCGCTTCGTTCCAGCTCTTGGCAGGTTCTATCTGGATGCTCATCTTATGGTCCTTTAAGCTCTACCCATGCCCTAAAATCTCAAAGCCTTTCATCGTCGCTCTCCTCGGCCCTGCACTGTTCCACACAATCGGACACATCTCAGCTTGTGTCTCCTTCTCCAAAGTCGCTGTTTCTTTCACTCATGTCATCAAATCAGCAGAGCCCGTCTTCTCCGTCATCTTCTCGTCTTTCCTCGGAGATTCGTACCCGTTAGCCGTCTGGTTATCGATTCTCCCAATCGTTATGGGTTGTTCTTTGGCTGCAGTCACTGAAGTCTCGTTCAATTTAGGTGGATTGTCGGGTGCTATGATCAGTAACGTTGGTTTCGTCTTGCGAAACATTTACTCCAAGCGAAGTCTACAGAGCTTCAAGGAGATTGATGGGTTGAATCTGTACGGTTGTATCAGTATACTGTCTCTGGTTTATCTGTTCCCCGTGGCGATTTTCGTCGAAGGATCACATTGGGTTCCAGGTTACCATAAAGCCATTGCATCTGTTGGGAAACCGTCGACGTTCTACATTTGGGTTATGCTCTCTGGCGTCTTCTACCATTTGTACAACCAGTCTTCTTACCAGGCGCTGGACGAGATCAGTCCATTGACTTTCTCTGTAGGGAACACGATGAAGAGGGTCGTGGTGATCGTGTCCACGGTTTTGGTGTTTAGGAATCCGGTTAGGCCTCTGAATGCTCTTGGATCAGCCATTGCGATTTTCGGGACCTTCTTGTATTCTCAGGCCACGGCGAAGAAGAAGAAGATTGAGGTTGGAGGTGATAAGAAGAACTAATGAGGTTTTTTAAAGGGCAACACTCCAAGCTTTTTAGTTAAGCCTTTTGAATTTGGTTATTCCTCAGTTTTGTGTTTTTTTATGGTTGTTGTTGTTCATCTTTTTATGAGACACTAGAATCTCCATTTCTGTTGACTCTTTTAGTTGCTACTTTGATCTACTTAGTTCTGGTTTGATTTCATTGATGATAATATGATGAAGTCGGTCTGATTCTGAGAAGAGTTAAATTTCTTAATCTTAAGCCTAAGTTTCTTTCTAATACAATGACTTGGGTCCAATTCAAAAACTGTATATACAGAAAAAGCCACAAAGAGGCGACCCAATTTATGAACCGAATAACAGGAGAAAATGCTACAAACTTTATGGAATTAGGATTTTACCAAAACGAATTCTAATACAAACCTGTAAGCCTTATTTTCAAGACAATCTTATAGGTCCCAAGAATAAACAAAATAATTTATCAATCTGTGGAGAAAAGAGAGGCTAAGAGAACATCACCGGATGTTGACTCGTCAATCTTTTGTCTCTGGAACAAGTCCTCCTGATTCGTCAATCTTTTGTCTCTTTGGATTTGGTTCCTCCGGTAGAGGAGACAGTGTTGCAGGAGGAGACATTCCAGGCATAGGTGGTGCAGGTTGCATCATCACTGAAAGGTGTTCAAGTGGTGGAAAGTTAGCACAAGACTCTTCATCAGAAACTCAAACTGAGGGTTGTTGTACACTTTCTCCATCAAATACTCAATAATACGCAGCCCATAACGTGCCAGAAACAGCGATGTGAGCTTGATAATACCTAGCTTCTCTGGTGTGGTCTCATCTGTAGGCAATCCAAATGCAAGATCACGAATGGGAGAATCAAGACCGGGTTGTGCATCAACTACACACACATGATGAGTAGCTGGAGCATCAGGTTGGATATCCCGACCTCCATCTTGATTCTGAGCATCGTGTTCAGCAAGCTGAGACCCCAGTGTTGGCTGCATTTGTTTTAGTTGGTTCATGATCGTCACTGAAAGGTGTTCAGGTGGTGGGTAGTAAATGCAATTTATCTCCTCTTCTATACTTTTAACGTCAACGTACGTCATTAGTTTTGGCTTGTCATTGGTCCTAAGTCCTTAACTCCAAAAAATATTAATGTCTTTAATCCGACATTGACATTCTGTCTAATATGGAATTAGTGTAAAGTCATTTTTTGTACAAAGGAAGTTATAAAGTGATAAACTTTCTTAGAGTAATTTCCTTTGATGAAAATTATGATAATTGGACGTATAATTTATCATAAATATATGTGTTCATCCCTCATATTTTTAGTTTATTTAGTTATATAAATACTACAATGTTTATTTTATAATTGTTTGAATAATAAGCAATAGATAATATGTTAAGAATATAAACGAGAGAGGGGGATGGGTTCGTGAATTACTTACAGTTGGAGCCATGTTTGATGTTTCTCTGCTTTTTTTCCAACGAAAAGCAAATAAAAACTTGATATTATTGATTTGATAATTTTTCAAGTTCTAGAAGAGAGATAGTTTCTTTCACTTGCTAATGCAATATATACATATCATGCAATTCCCCAACCATTGATTCCACGATTGTCTTGGCACCGCAAGACAGTTTCCCCATTCATCTCTTCAATTGCGGTAGCCACCAAAAGATGTGAAGCATCATTCATGAAAAAGCAGTTTTTATTTATACACTAATTAACATTCAGCCTTCAACAAATGCCTCACAAATTCACCGCAGAGAGAGATCAACGACACGAGGTATGTAGCTCTCTCCAATTTCAAATGGTTGTTAATAGCAAAATTATAGAAAAATTAACAAAATGACTGATTTAAAAATAAAGCAAAATTAATCACATACCTCATTGCGATTGGTTGGGTAGATAACCTGCTTAACAGGCATTCCTCATCAGCAAAAATATCAAGGCATCCGTTGAAATCAAAAATTCCCCACATCCATCTACGTTGAGAAGAGATCTAGGCATGTAGTTTAGAACAAACTGAATGGACAACTTAGATTCCATAGGAAGGAGGTCATGAATCTTCAACATGGCTTGGTAGTGCTTCACAAGACCGATTGCCCAGCAGATATGCCCAAGTTTTGTTCGATTTAGAAAAAGCATCAAATTATGAGTACAACAAAGTAACAATATGACTACACATTCTTATATGATTCAAAACTATCATTCAGTTTCAAACTGTTGTTGATAGCAAAGGTATAGTAATATACATCAAACTATTTTTTTTGTCAGCTATATATTAAACTATTTAAATAGGTAAAAAAGCAATTGTAAGTAAGACGCTCTAACGTATATAACTTATGAAAATTTTGATTTTATAAATCAGTAAACATGAGAAGAATACCCCATGTAATTAATCCTAGGCCGTAGATTTTGCTGATCGTTCATAGCTTCGTTGAAATCAACGGCCTTGATCACCAACACAATCTCGTTGTTCTCACGGTTCTATTCAAACGGCGTCGTATCGTTCACTTTTCGTTTCTGCTGGTTGTGGTATTGGTCAGTCTTGGTAATAAGACCGGTTTTGGTGTGTTCCTTGCGCTCTAAGGTAAGGCTTATCCGGATGTGTACCTGATCGCGATTCTAAAGCTGGCGGTCCATCTTCCTCCGGTATAGCAAAGCTTTCTTGTACCGGCCACTGGTTCGGTTCTTGCTGATGGTGGTACTGGAAGTTTTGTGGAGTTACATTCCTTGAGCTGGACATCATCTCAGAAACCGAAGAACCGAGAAATCCTTCTTCTTTTTCCGGTTCGTATTGAGGTCGGGTTAATGGCTGTCGAACCGGTCTTGGATAACATTGATATGGAACCATTGTCATGTTCGGTTTTGCTACATGCCTCTGATTATCCTGAAAACATGAAACATAACCTGATACAAATGATGCTAACTGGTTTTCTAAACAGTTCAAGTTCCGGCTTAACTCTTAATTCAAGCCAAACTGATTATCATGAAAACATAAAACATAACCTGATACAAATGATGTCTTAGTTCATTGCATCTGTTGGGAAACCATCGACGTTCTACATTTGGGTTCTGCTCTCTGGCGTCTTCTACCATTTGTACAACCAGTCTTCTTACCAGGCGCTCGACGAGATCATTCCATTGACTTTCTCTGTAGGGAACACGATGAAGAAGGTCGTGGTGATCGTCTCCACAGTTTTGGTGTTTAGGAATCCGGTTAGGCCTCTAAATGCTCTTGGATCAGCCATTGCGATTTTCGGTACCTTCTTGTATTCTCAGGCCACGGCGAAGAAGAAGAAGATTGAGGTTGAGGTGATAAGAACTAATGAGGTTTTTTAAAGGCCAACACTCCAAGCTTTAGTTAAAGGCTTTTGAATTTGATTATTCCTCAGTTTTGTGTTTTTTTATGAGAGACACTAGAATCTTCATTTCTGTTGACTTTTTTAGTTGCTACTTTAATCTGGTCTGATTTCATTGCTATGGTGAAGTTGGTCTTAAGCCTTGTTTCTTCCTAATACAATGACTTGCGTCCAATTCAAAACCACAAAATTTTAGTTGGTTCATCGTCACTGAAAGGTGTTCAAGCACAAGCTGATGCACGACATGTTAATGGCAGACAAGGATGGAGCAGGTGATGAATTATAGATAGTCTAAAAGCAGAGATGGGTTAAATTTCTTAAACTTAAGCCAGTTTTTCTTCCTAATACCAATGACTTGGGGTATCCAATTCATAAACTATACACAGAACAAAAAAAAAAAAAAACCACAAAGAAAATGATCAGTTCCGTTTCTATCACCAGGAGTAATGCCGGAACCTTCTCCGGCTCATCCTCCTGAAAGGTTTACAAGCAAGAATGCTAAGATCAACAGCTGCAGCAAGCGCCATGAAAATGGCTGCATCTTCCACACAAGTTACATGCCTCATAGCCAACTGCACCACGGGCTTGCTGCTTTTCCCTTCCCCTTGCACCCTCGAGCTCATCACAAACCCTCCTCCGGAGACACACTGTCCCAAACCGGAGAAGTCTCCGCTGCTCTGCGGGCTTGGGATCGGCGTAGCTGCGACCGTCAGCATCTGCTTATCCGTGTCGATCAGAAACTCCCCGCCTTTCTCTGCGCTGATGAGGATCTCTGACATCAAAACATCTCCAACCTCTTGCCCGTTCGACAGGAGATGGAACCTGCAACAGACAGAGTCCCTGATCCCGCGTTCCCGCCAAGCTTCGAGCTTTCCCCATGGCTGCCAGCTGTTTGGTCGGCACGGGTCGGGCCTGACCACGAGCCAAGCACCAGGGTTAGACTTGGCCACCCAGTCACAGCCAGTGGATGGCACAAAAGGAGTTGTTATAAAAGCTGCAGCAACCGCTGAGCCAGAGAGGTCATGTATCTTCACTTTCCAGCCTTTTCTCTCGCGTCTCTCACTCTCAAGCTCTGTTCCATCCCCTGAACTTGACCAGTACCCGTTCAAAGGATCCACCTGTGACACCCTGAAGAATCAAAACCCCATCAGTAACCAAGTAGAGAAGAGATGGGTTTGTGCAAACTATGGAGGAATCAAAAATGTCACCTGTCTCGGCTAAATTTGCAGCTGAAGATAGGTTGCTTGACCGAGCCACGAAGCTGAACTATCTGAGGGCTCAAAGTAGTAACATCCTCGAACTGGAAAACATATCGAGGATCAGGATCCAGCTTCACTCTCAGATGAAGCTCTGCACCACCATCTCGCTTGTTCTTCCCAATACCGATCCAGCCATTGAAGAGAATCATCGGTTTCCCTTCTCCCCACTCAGGACTTACCTCCAGCTTAAACATCCCAATCTGCTGTCTTTTAGCACCAACTCCGCAATGCGAACTCTTTCTACCCGTGAAAACCGAAACTTCCAAGTGAGCATTTGGATTATAGAAGCATCCAGGGGTCAGGAGAGCTCTCAAATCAGATTCTTCGAGGTAAAAGCTTGTGGAAATGCTGTGATGGTCAGGAGCTGCGTCTAGGGAAGGCATCAAAGGGACAGATGTTGTCTGAACGGGAAAGCCTCGGAGTTTTATCTCGCAGGAGCATTGAGCAGCAAAGTTCTTCTTCTCGTCGGATCTTGAAGAAGAGTTTAAGAGGAACTTGGGGATTCTTAAGGCAAGAGAGTCTACTGAAAGGCGGATAAAAGCTTGGGGATCCATTGAATGTCAGAAACGTTTCCCCATTGGATCAGAGAGGATGCGTATCCATAATGGTATTGATCAATCAAACCTGACAAGCCAACACCAGAGACAAAAGAGATTCAGCCAAAGTTAGTTTCATCCTAACCAGAAACTGAAAAACACAATGAAAAATATGAAATTCCTTAGCCAGCAGAAGCAGATAAGTTCAGATTAGAGACAGGATTAAAAGAGCTATTACTTGCACCAAAATCAAGTCCTTTAGTAACACTGAAGAAGAGCAGATTTTAATTCGTCCTCACTGGATTTTTGTTAATGTTGTTTTTTTTACATTAACAAAAAATCTGCAACAACAAGAGAGACCACATGACTTCTACCATTTGTAAACTCAAAGCTACAGCTCTATGAGATGGAATTACTTGAGATTAAACAATAACACACGACGAACTTGGTTAAATTCACAAAAATATTAAAAGCTGAACAGAAGCTGGTGTCATCAAAGCACAAGCCAAAACAAATTGAAGTCAAGGTAGAAATTAACCAGAGAGAGAGAGGACGAAATCAAGTGAAAAGAGCTAAATTTTAATATGACAAAATGAATCCTACCAGAAAAAGCTACAAACTTTATGGAGTTAGGATTTACCAAAAGTGAGTATAAGAGAAAGAAACAAAACAGAATTTTGATACAAACCTGTTTAAACCCGAAAGCATTATAATTGAAGACAATCTGATAGATCCCAAGAAAGCTAGACCCTTCAAATTCCGTTTTTCTCTCGTAAACCAAAAACTTTAAAAAGGAAATCAATCTGGGGAGAAAAAAAAATGCGTAACAGTGAAATGGTAGAATCAAGAGAGAAGAAACATAAAGGTTTAATTCATGGGAGAAAACGAAGATTTATGATTACAAATGGGATTTTCAATTTTGGTTTCACAGAGCACAAAGAGAGAAACTTTTCTTCTCTTCTTTCTCTCTCGTTCGCTGTGTAAGTAAAATATTCGACCCCGGAAGAAAATTGTGATATCGGCCACGAAATTAACGGGGAGAATATAAACGCTAAAAGGGTTTCTATTTTTGTTCTTAAATGCAATTACTCTTCTCTTTTTATCGTTTAAAACGTCAACGTACGACATTAGTTTTGGCTTTTCATTGGTCCGAACTCCAAAATATTAAACATGTTTTTAACCCGACCATATTCTTTAAAATAAGGAATTAGTGTAAAATCGATTTTTTGTAAAAAAAGATAAATCTCCTTAGAGTAATTTCTCTAGATGAAATTTATAATAAGTTTATTTAGACTTTAACATAAATATATTTGTTCATTCATCATAGTTATACTTATAACCGATTGTAATCTGTAATCAATTATTAAAATGAACTTGTTTAATGAAATGTTTATTGGTATACTAACAGACATGTTATGGGAAATAATGTTTCGAAAATTGTCCACTCAATTTCTATCACATCATATTTTTTGATAAATATTTTCTTCTGTCAAAAAATATTTAGATTTTAAACAAAATGAATCTAAAATATTTGTGTACATTTTTTTATATTTGTGTACATTTATTAACAAAGAAAAATAGTTGTGTACATTTCACAAAACTACAATTTATATTTTTAACTAGACCTATATATTTAAAATAGTCAAATATATAAAACCATTATCTGTTGTACATGATCCAATATCATCATCCTCTAAGCATATTGAATAAGGAGTCAGAAGAACAGTAATCTCTTGAATAAATATGGTTGTCCATTATTTTATCAGCAATAACTTCACGCAGTCGAATTATTGAACTAGAGGTAGGTTAATAGTTTGGTGGAAAACAAATACTAATAATGCAATGGAAGTCAATTTACAGTATAATAACATAATAACAATGTTTATTTATTGTTTTTTAATAATAAGGAATAAACAAAAAAAAATTAAGAATATGAACGAGAGAGGGATGGGTACGTGAATACAGCTGGAGCCATGTTTCTGCTCGTCTTTTCCATTCAATATTTGCATACAAAAATAAGAAATAACGAAAAGCAAATAAAAATCTAATCACTTTCAGACACCTAAGCCTGACTTCATATCCCAACTGTCCACTTTATTTTAATTCTTAGAACTACCATTATTTTTCTCCTTTTAAATTTAATCAAATACATGGAAATCACATTTAAGCATACCAAAACTTTGTAATACTAGTTAGAATTCAAAAAAAAAAATTAAAATTAGATAATTATTGTATTTGATGAAATATTCCATATTCATTTTAGATATATATACTGTAGACTTGATGGAAAAAAAAACCATCCATCTTTCTAAATAGGAAAATTGAAAATTAAAATGAAAGTAATTTTGATTAAAAAAACGAAAGAGCCGCAAAGGAGGAAAGGGATAGAGATGGGTTTTCGAGGAGCTGACATCTTCGACATGTGCCTCTTCCTGTCATCTACTTCATCACTCTCACACTTCTTTTGCCCTCTTTCTCTTTTAAAATCACTAATACTATTTTTTTTTTTTTCATATAACATGTCAGTCTAAATTGTCTGGATTAATGACATAACATTTGAAGTGCATTGATATCGCAAATTTTTCTATTTTTCCGTGTGAATTTTTATAGTGGTGAAAAAGAAGATGTATCCCAAAATTATTCAAAAATTTATTTGGAATAATAGGAAATCAAACTTATGTCATGCGAAATTGTCAAACTATCTTTGTTTCTTCTCTTTAGCTATAAACCCTTCTTTTCATGATTCTCCCTCAAATAGAATTTTAAGTATTAGAATTGTTCTTCCTTCTTTTTTGCTTTATAAGAGTTTGTTTGCATCTAACTTCTGACCATACTAGAATTGTAGGACACTACTAGTTTGCTTATGAAAAGACAATCGTAGTTAAATACCCTTTCTTCGTCTTTAATTCGTTTGAGTGACTTTGGAGCTGACAAATATAATCCTTGGTAGCTTCTTGTCTTTCCATTGATCTGAATTCGAAAGGCTTCCAAAATTAGATCGTCAATCTTAAACACGTCTTCCTATGGATTTTTTAAAAAAATTCCTAAAAACTATTCCTTCTAAATTAATCTCAAAACTGTCCATTTACAAGTTTACAAGAGATGGTGTCTTTTAAGAGTTCATAGCTAAATTCGTTAATACAGTAGTTTTATCCATTTTCTTTATCTCCCGGATATTTTTTCTTGAATTATTTTGTTTTCATATAAACATTACAAATCCAAATTCTTAATGATCAAGAACCTGATAATAAATACATAAATGTTTAGTAAGCATCCATGGAAGTTTAGATAAATGAACAAGGTCAAATTATGGTTCAACTAATCTTTTGTCATGTTTCAACTTTTGTATTGTTATAACACCTATATAATTTTAAGAGGAACCAAACTTTGAGACATGTTCTCATCATATTAAAAAAATCAAACTGATATGAGTGAAAGTTAATATGTACTGTCTTTATCCAATATTTCAAAGTTTGTATACCCGTCTTATGCTTTTGTTTTATTTTCAATAGTCTATATATATATATATATATGCATCTGATTATCGTGACAAGTTATAAAATCACTAAATATCATATTGCATGTAGATATAATAATCGAGTCGTTTTCTATAAAGCCATTTGAAAAAAGCAAATTTAAAACTTTGTAGATATCACATTGCATCTAGTGGCAGGTTAGAGAGATAATGTTCTCTTTTGCCAACTTTTTCTACTCTTTTGGAATTTTCATCTTTCCACTTTGTTATTTCCTAGGTTGGCAGCAAACTCAAAAGTATCTAATACTCTCTGTATATATACAAATCCAAATTACTTTTCATTTATGGTTTATATATATTCCTTAAACCAAACCAAGAAACAATTTATACATGAGCAAACTTTATACATGCCAATGTAAAACAAACACAAAAGCTTCACACAACCAAACCAAGAAGGAAAGATCATGACTTTCTAATTTCCAAGGCTCACAAACAACTATGTAACTTCATCAGAGACTTAATACTTATTGTTAAGCAGTGATAATGTTGTAGTCTCTAAATTGGATCAATCAAAATCACTTCCATTTCTTGAAGAATTTCCCCTTGTGCTTCCCAAACATGCCATGTTTCCAGCGTTTTCCGAACTTGCCGTGCTTGAACTTGCCGTGTTTGAACTTACCGTGACCATGATAGCCATATCCATAGCCGTGACCGTGATGGTGACCATAGTGTCCGTGGTGAGACATGTGGTGAGCACCAGCTGCTGCAGCCGCCATAGCCGCTCCACCCGCTATTACCGCTCCTATACCTCCATGGTGATGTCCTGTTAACATATTAAGTTGGTTTTAACAAAGGAAGCTTGTTTGAAGATGCTAAAAATTGTATGATCATTTGGCAAAAACAGAAACACACACACTAAACGTAGAAGCAAACGTGTGAAAAGACATTTGTAGGAGGAAGAATGTAAATGTTGAGATTGAAATTACCAGAGTGATGAGATGGACCGGGATAACCGTGTGATGGATAACCGTGAGGAGGATAACCGGGTGGAGGATAACCACCGTGTGGAGGGTAAGCAACTGGTGGATAGCCATGAGGAGGAGGAGGAGGAGGAGGGTATGGATAAGGAGCTCCATAGCCATGACCGTGATGACCGTAACCATGACCGTGATGACTGTAACCATGACCGTGAGGTGGGTAGTGTCCGCCTGCGAATCCTGCCAAGTGGTGGAAGAATCCTCTGTCACTGTGTTCATGTTGATCCTTTCCCATTTTTTTCACACTTCAATCTTAGAGTAAACGGTTTACTACACTGTAAAGAAGAAAACGCCGTGGCATTAGATTATGAACCAAAAGAGATAGTTTGTTGCACAAGTCCGTTGTGTAACGATTAGATTTGTTGCAAAAGAACTTGTTTGTATCATCAGATTCAAGACATTAACTTCACAGAAGATACGCCTCTGGCTCTGACTATTAGACTATATAGTTAAGAAACTTCACCAATATTCAAATTCCGTTTTCTCATTTCCACACATACAAATACTTGTTTAACGAACAAAAAGAATTTAAACATCTGTTTCGCTATGCCTATTTTCAGACTCGAGACAACATAGATGGACATAACAAAAGTGGATTTGAATTTAAAACAACTCAAAAGTTCCCATATCACAAGATTGAAATGATACTTAACACACACGCACACAAAAAAGCCAAGAAAACAAAAAAGAAGGGATAAAAGATGTGCGTACCAAAACGAAGCAGAGGAGATTTTGATTTGATTTCGGAAATTCTCAGATGACGACGTCGTCTGCATAAATACTTCCGCCTTTCTCTGGAAGCAGAGGAAACGCCTGACACGCTGCTGATCAAGATCGAGCCGTACTTTCCACGCTACGCGCTTCCTTTTATTTTATTTATTCCCTCTATTTTCCACAAAATTCTTCAAGATAATGTATATTGATTACAATATCTATCTTGAAAACATATGCCTTTTTTAATTGCTTTTCAGCCAATCAGAAATATATAAAAGCTTGCATTAAGGAAAAAAAAACAAATAAGCTTCTAGATATCTGAAAATAATAATATTACGATAGCATCTGATTCTAGTCAAATCACACACCTAATTCAATACAGATTTATCATCTAAAAGTCATGTGACGTTTTTAATCAACGAAAAAGAATTCAAAAAATAAAAACCAAAAAGTCGGTATGGTTAACTTCTTTTAGCATTACTCTCAGTCGTCTATTAACTGCTACTAAGACCGAATTAAACCAAAACAAACTGGTTTCGATAATTTTCAACGATCAAACTGTTTCAATCATGGAAGCTGAAACATTGAGATATGTTATAATCGTGTAAAAAAAAAAATCATAAAACGAGATTTTGTAGATTCTCCATCCAAATACTTAGAATGAATCTCAGTTTCAGAGCTAAAAAGATATTATGACTTTCTAACTTCCTAATTAAGAAAACAATTAATTTTTCTGTTTTACCTCTAATTAATACTCAATTTTTCTAAATATGAACAATTGATAAGCTAGAAAAGTAGAAATAAAACTGAAAAAAATCATCATAAATCTATATTCAAAATATAAACGAACAACTACATAATTTAAAGTAAAATTAAAAAGAACTAGAATCCATTACAGAGATTTTATCATATTAAAAGTCACTTGACTGTTTAGTTAACGAAAAGAAAAGCCATAAACAAAAAGTCCGGTATGGTTTTGAAGTGGTTTACTCGATTTGCATTATACACTCTCAATAAGCTGTTAGATACTAAGACCGAATTAAACCAATCCAAACTGATTTGGATATTTTTCAAACGATCATGGAAGCTGAATCTTGTTTCTGGTATAGTCTTCTGTAGATTCTTGCACCTTCGAATTCAGCGTGGATCTCTCGTTCGGTTCGTATACCCATCGGGTTTTCCATTAACCAACCTTCCTCTGTGTCGGCTGTGTCCACGTGTCGAAGAACCTTTGCTTCCTCGTCAAACTGATCTCTCATGTCTTGAGCTACTTCAAGCACATCTGACTGCACAAAGATCTGTTGCAGAACCAGCAATATTGGTGGCCATTGAAAGGGCGAATAAAAGCTTACAGAAAAGCAAAACAGTTTTACCTTTCCTCCGGGTTTAAGGTTTTGCAGAATGGAATGTACCAGAGGCTTTTGGACAACACGTCTCTTTTGATGCCGTTTCTTGAAATGCGGATCCGGACACTGCGTTTAAACCCCCAAACACAAGAAGTTGTGGATCAGCAACAGGATTCATATTAGGCCTTTAGATGCTTACAACTTTACCAAGATTGAGACAAGCTCCAACGGTCCAGGATAGCTTGAGATAAGTTGTTCAAAGGAAACCATGGCATTTGCAAATATGAAGTGTCTGTGAAACCCATCCACAAGAGATATATCAAACAAGCTATCAACAGAGTATATAGCGGAGGCGTATTCTAAAGCTGTGGAATGCAGAGATTTACACGTTTGAAAGCCCGAGCTCATTCACCCAAAAGTTTGCACGCTTGACCAGCTGCAAAAGAAATGTGAGAAATCAAACTTCTTTTAGGGCAACGTAACCGAAAACACATGAGCTAAAAAAGAACAAGAATGGTGGATTGAATTTGAAACTGTCAAAAGGAGCTCATTTTCTTACTTTCTGGCGTATCTCCAACCCCAAGTAATTTCTTGACGCAGCATTCTTTTTGGCTAGCCATAAGAGAAATCTGCCACTACCTGAAATCAAAATCCACAACCATTTAAGAAAACTGAAATCGAATACGAAAGTTTTGGTTTTTAATAAGTTGAAACAAATTTCAAGGCGCAAGAACAGGTAACAAATATAAAGGAGATATATTTGAATCTCAAATCAGTTTCTAATTTCATAGAAAGATGCCAACTTTGCCACCAAAAGTCTCTAAGATGACTAACTAGTGTGCAATGTACTCAACTAAGAGAACTGAAATTGCATAAACCATATATAAACTTTGAGTTGAGAGAAGCAAAACCCCCAAAAGTCTAAAGTAAGCTCACAAGTTACCACTGCCAATATCCACCATAAGAGGCAGCGATGGATCCTTATACACTTCATCCCAAGCAGGAACTGGAGCTGGCGTCTATCAGAAAGAAGATCAGTGTAAGTCAATTATGCTGTTTCAAACAAGTATCAAGGAAAAAGCTGTCACAAGTTTGCAAAACAAAAATATATAGAGACATCATCATCAACTTACAGAGAAAGAGGAACTGAGAGGATTAACATGCTGTCTGATTCTTACATGACCCACTTCCTGCAAACAAAAGCGCAAAGAAACACAAATGATGATTCCTCAAATCATATCCGATGATTAGAGATAGTGATAGACCATCTCTTTTAGTAAAAGAGTCAATGAAGATGAAAAGCTCTCTAATTCGAACACACATTGGACCACGGGAGAAATTAAGGTTACGAAAGATAGAGAGAGATGAAAGGAGGAGACCTCAGATATCTTGTACTTGAGGTTGAGATCTGCATACTCCAATTCAACCAAATCAGTGCTTCGCACTTCCTTTAAATCGAGACAAACTGATGTAGACGCAGACGCGGAGGTGGATGCTCTGAAGCTGCTATAATGGCGAGGGCTTTTGTGCCCGATAAACGGCGATGAAGCCAGGGAAAACACCCTTTTCGCCAGAAGCAATGGTGTAGCCGAAGAAGAAGAGCACGCTTGACAAAGAGAAGCCATTTTTTTTTTTTTTTTGTTAAGAGAATAAGAAAGTAGGATTTGATTCAATTGGGTTTCGTTTCGCCGATAAAAATGTTTACTTTTCAGTGTTCTTGCGGAAGAGAAAAAGCTGCATTGTCAATCTAGAAATCGTTCAACAGTTTTGCACTCAAACGTGATAAAATTGAAATTAAGGGGGTGTTTCTATAAATACAATAAAAATGACCAAGAACATGTGGATTTTAAGCTCCAGCTTTCTCCTCTTGAGCTCACATCCACTGAACAAAAAGGATGGCCTCGGCGATTGTTCCATCGCTCAGGCTTACACCCAGCTTCTCCTCCGCCACGTCAAATCCTCCTCCTTCTCCTCCGCCGGCGACGTGAAACCCCGTCCCGCCGTCTTTCTCCCGGTAATTGAACTCCTTCCTCTGCTCTGATTGAGAAAATTATAGCGGACAAAAATGTGAGTGTATGCTTCTTTTCTTTGTGTGTTTAGGGTCTAGGGAACAATTCAGGAGACTTGTTCTGTTCTTGATTGGTGTGGTTTTGCTCTATGAATGTATCAATACGTTTGTCGTTTGTGTATTTTTTTTGACACTTATAGAATCTGATTTTATAAATGATACAGGTACTTGAAGAGAATTGATGATGCAGTCCGTGAAGAAAATTAGTTAGCTCAAGGTAATAAATATCTCACAATGTACAAGTTACCATTTGGATAGGATAGCGAAAAAAATGGTGGCTTTGTGTGTTCTTGGATCAGACTTAGCTGCTAGTTTTAGTTGTGAATCGCGCCGTAAATCCATAAAAAGACGAAATGGTTTTGATTAGGAGCCAAGAGGTAAAAACAGATCAACTATGTACATATGATTCATGTGTACTGAATGAGATATAATGGAACTTCACAAATCCACTAATCTTTCGTATTAAGTTCCAAAATAATGGAAGAAGCAAAGATAGAATTATTCGTAGTCATATCCTTTCTCCTAAAACAAAACCACGAAGGTTTTTACTTTGTTTACCTCAGCCGCCCGTTTTTTGGTCTATCAGCGAAACAAAATTAACTTGAACATTCTTAAACCCTTTCTCATCACATCCACCAAGTTGCAGTGCTTTCTCTATTCCCTTTTGTCCGCGAAGAGTAATGTAAGCGACGCTAAAAAAAATCAACCAACAAAAACAAAATCTTTGGTTAGCATTTGATACCATGAGAGCTGAGAAATAATTTTGGGGGACAAACCTGCAGAGAACACCTTCGTTTACGAATTTCAAAACATCAGGATTCTGGACCAGTCCACATTTAGAGTAGTGTTCTTCCAGAATGCGCTCAACATAACCCTCATCAAGCGAAATGTCAAATCCCTTAACTGACATCCTAATACATTGATTCCAGGAGATAACATTATCAACATGACAAAGAACATATCTTACAGACAAAAAAATCTCCCAAACAGACAATTTTACCCGATCGTCTGCGCCTCTCATGGGAGCCAAAACAGGGTCAAGGTCTTTGGCGTCAAACGGGTAAGCCTTGGCGACTACCTCATGTCCTCCTCCCATGTCACTTCCACTAAGTTTCAACGCCTTCTCTTGTGCGCCTTCTCCACGAAGATAAATAAAGACAAATCTGTAAAACAAAAAAAAACAAGAGTTTATAGCAAAGCGTGTAACCTAAAAAGCTGAGGAACAATGGAGGAAAGACGCCACAAACCTGTTGAGAATAGGGGTGACGCTGCAAACGTATCCGGGAATATAAACATGCACCACCTCTCCACATGAAGCGAAATGTTCGCTCAAATAACAAGCCACTTCATAGCCAGTGAGCGAAGTGTCGTATCCCTCAACGTAAATCCTGCTAATCATGCTACTGCAATAGCAGGTGATAATATTACTAACATGGCATCATACAGATACACATCTCAAAAGAACAGGAAAAAAATATCAATTTTCACCTGCTTTTTCGAATGTCTGCATCACTATCGCTCGATTCCAGACCCTATTTCAAGAGAACACCAAACATTTATCGTTCTAGGCTTAATAATATTTTCAGAGACTTAATAATATTTATTGTTACGTAATGATATAATGTTGATCGTCTCTGAATTGGAACAATCTTTTTGGACAAAAGAGATTCAATTGGATTTGAAGTTTTGAACGATAATCCCATGAGGAAGAGAAAGCTGCTGTGTCAATCTAGAATCTTTCAACAGTTTTGTACTCAAACGTGATAAAATTGAAATTAAGGGGGTGTTTCTGTAAATACAATAAAAATGACCAAGAACATGTGGCTTTTAAAGCTTCAGCTTTCTCCTCTTGAGCTCACATCCAACTGAACAAAAAGGATGGCCTCAGCGATTGTTCCATCGCTCAGGCTGAGACCAAGCTTCTCCTACGCCACGTCACCATCCTCCTCCTTCTCTTCATCCGGCGACGTCAAACCCCGTCCCGCCGTCATTCTCCCGGTAATTGACCTCCTTCCTCTGCTCCGATTGAGAAAGTTATAGCGGACAAGAATGCGAGTGTATGCTTCTTTCCTTTGTGTGTTTAGGGTCTAGGGAACAATTCAGGAGACTACAAGAAGCTGGAGGTAACACTGAGTGAGTACGGTGTTCCTGCAGTGGTTGCAGCTGTATCAAGGCTGGATTGGTTTAGAAATGCTGCCGGTTTGGTTGATCCTTCCTACTGGCGCGGCACTCTCCGCCCTCGTCCTGTTCTTGATTGGTGTGGTTTTGCTCTATGAATGTCTCAATACGTTTGCGTTTGTGGATTTTTTTTAAACTGATAGAATCCGATTTTATAAATGATCAAGGTACTTGAAGAGAATTGATGATGCAGTCCGTGAAGCCAATGCGTTAGCTCAAGGTAATAATATCTCACAATGTACAAGTTACCATTTGGATAGGATTAGCGGAAAAAAATGGTGGCTTTGTGTGTTCTTGGATCAGACTTAGCTGCTAGTTTTTTTAGTTGTGAATCGCTGTAAAACCATAAAAAGACATTAGCTTTACATCACTTACAGGTCAAGGACTGTCTTTGATTGGACACTCAGCTGGAGGATGGCTTGCTCGAGTTTACATGGAAGAATACGGAAACTCTGATATCTCCTTGTTGTTGACACTTGGTACGCCTCACTTGTAGGTACACATACTTGTCAATTACTTTATTCTCAAGAGCTGTTGCGTCTAATTTCTTTCATAACCGCATGGGTTTGAATCTTTTTTAGGCCACCGCCGAGAGGACAACCAGGGGTGATAGATCAAACACGAGGTCTTCTCTATTACGTCGAAGAGCAATGTGCAAAAGCTGTTTACACTCCTGAGCTGAGATATGTCTGCATCGCTGGGAGGTAATGTTCCTTCCTAAACCCATTAAAGGTTCGAAAGCTAATGCCTAAATAACTGAACTGGTAGAGTTCATATGTAGATACATTCGTGGAGCTACTTTGGTGAACAATGCAGATGTGAGTGCTGGAATCGACGGTGGTGATGCGATTTCAGAGCTTGCTATAGCAAGCAACAAGACGGGCGATTCACAGGTTTCCTCAGGGCCTAGTTTGCGTGCTCGTTTTGTAGGGCAAGGATACAAGCAAGTATGTGGAAGAGCTGATGTGTGGGGTGATGGAGTGGTCCCTGAGGTTTCAGCTCATCTTGATGGTGCACTTAATGTTACCTTCGACGGTGTTTACCACTCCCCTGTTGGTTCGGAAGACGAAACCAGACCTTGGTATGGTTCTCCGGCTATTGTAAAGGACTGGATTCACCACCTTCTTCAATGATGATTTTACAACTTCCCGCAAGAACTTGTGTCCCTTTCTGTTCCTATCTCTTCACCCTAAAAAACCAGACTCTAATCACATTATTGTATTTTGTATCTTTCACTTTTCGACGATCCAATTCTGTCAAATCACAAATGCATAAATGTGTATATTTCTTTAACAATTTGGAGAATATAGGAGAAAGTACTTTTGGTCTAAACGTTTTGATTTTTTACAGTTTAGGCGTTTACACTGCCATTGCAACGAGGACAAAAAGCTTGGACTTTTACTCTGACTCTGCCACGCGTCTTTATAAAGTTGGAGACTTTGACTTCTGAGCGCTTAAGGAATGTCATTTTCATGGTTTCCAGGTTCGGAGAATCACTGGGAGATAATAGAAACCTGTTTCCGCTAATATAGCAAGGAGGAAGGACAAAACAAGTTGTCGCCTTTATGTGAAATTTTATCTTACAAGATGATGTAATCTCTATGGTACTAGAGACCTCAGAGAGATTCCATGGCTTCTCTTCCTTCTCATTCTTCTTCAGCCGTCTGGAAAACGGACGTTTTCGTGAGTTTTAGAGGAGAGGATGTGCGTAAAACATTCGTGAGCCATCTATACAGCGAGCTTGATCGGATGGGGATCAACGCGTTCAGAGACAATCTGGATCTCGAGAGAGGAAAACCGATCTCCCCAGAGCTTGTAGATGCGATCAAAGGCTCCAGATTCGCGATCGTCGTGGTCTCTAGGAACTACGCAGCTTCAAGCTGGTGCTTAGACGAGCTCTTGAAGATCATGGAATGTAAAGATACGTTCATTCAGACAATCATACCCATTTTCTACGAGGTTGATCCTTCGGATGTGAGAAGACAGGCTGGGAGTTTCGGTAAGGATGTTGAGAGTCACAGTGACAAGGAGAGAGTGAGGAAATGGAAAGAAGCTTTGACGAAATTAGCAGCTACTTCTGGTGAAGATTCTCGGAATTGGTGAGTTTCTTTAGATTTTTGTTAAGTAGCCTAATTGGTGTGTTCAACGTATTTTAAAGTGATGAATTTTTTGTATGGTATAGGAGTGATGAGTCAAAGCTGATTAAGAAGATTGTTAAAGACATTTCTGATAAATTGGTTTTAACGTCGTGGGATGATACAAAAGGGTTGATTGGAATGAGTTCCCATATGGACTTTCTGCAGTCTATGATGTCTACAGAGAAAGAAGATGTTCGAATGGTAGGGATTTGGGGAATGGGTGGAGTTGGGAAAACCACGATTGCTAAATACTTATACAATCAGCTCTCATGTGGATTTCAAGCTCATTGCTTCATGGAGAATGTGAAGGAAGTCTGTAACAGATATGGGGTCAGGCGTTTACAAGGGGAGTTTTTATGCAGAATGTTTCGAGAGAGAGATAAAGATGCGTGGAGCTCGGTTTCATGTTCCAGCGTAATAAAGGAGAGGTTCAGGCACAAAAGGGTTTTGATTGTTCTCGATGATGTGGATAGATCTGAGCAACTGAATGAACTGGTGAAGGAGACCGATTGGTTTGGTCCGGGAAGCAGAATCGTTGTGACAACGCGGGATAGACATTTGCTAGTTTCTCATGGCATAGATTTGGTATACAGAGTGAAGTGTCTACCCGCAAAAGAAGCTCTTCAGCTATTTTCTCATTATGCTTTCAGAAATGAGATTACTCCACCACATGGGTTTGGGGGGTTATCAGTTCAAGCTATTAACTATGCTTCTGGTCTTCCACTGGCTTTAAGAATGTTGGGCTCTTTCCTTTATCGTAGAAGTCAAAGAGAATGGGAAAGCACACTTGCTAGGCTTGAGACTTCTCCTCATACTGATATCATGGAAGTTCTGAGAGTTAGCTATGATGGATTGGATGAGCAAGAGAAGGCTATATTTCTGTATATATCATGTTTCTATAACATGAAGGATGTTGATTATGTCACAAGACTTCTGAGTATTTGTGGGTATGCCGCAGAAGTCGGTATCAAAATTCTTACCGAGAAGTCTTTGATAGTCATATCAAATGGATGCATAAAGATGCATAACTTGCTTGAACAGATGGGTCGAGAACTTGTTCGTCAACAAGCAGTTAACAAACCTGCTGAACGGTTACTTTTATGGGATCCTAAAGACATCTGTGATTTGCTGTCAGAAAATTCTGTAAGTTATCTTCATATGCTTCTCTTCTCATTTGATCTTTTCCAGAGTCTTCATGTAAGTGGTTTTGATAGCCTCTTCTTCTCCATTTCATAGGGAACACAACTTGTTGAAGGAGTGTCTCTGAACCTGTCTGAAATTTCAGAGGTATTTGCTAGTGATGGAGCTTTCGAGGGATTGTCTAATCTCAAGCTTCTCAACTTGTATGACCTTTCATATGATGGAGAGACCAGACTGCATCTACCTAATGGCCTGAGCTATCTCCCACGCAAGCTTCGTTATCTACGCTGGGATGGATACCCTTTAAAGACTATGCCTTCAAGATTTCATCCAGAGTTTCTTGTTGAACTTTGTATGAGTAATAGCCATCTCCAAAAACTGTGGAATGGAATCCAGGTAAATTCTCCCACAGAAACTGCAGATCATATTATTTTTTGTGGACTAAACCATTTGATGTAATTTTTTTCAGGCTCTTGGGAAACTGAAGAAGATGGATCTTTCTCGTTGCAAACACCTAATCGAAATTCCAGATCTCTCAAAAGCCACAAATCTTGAGAAGCTAAACCTTTCCTACTGCCAAAGCTTGGCTGAGGTTACTCCATCTATCAAAAATCTTCAGAAACTTTATTGTTTATACTTGACTAATTGCATCCAACTCAAGAAAATTCCACCGGGAATCTCTCTGAAGTCGCTTGAAACAGTTGAAATGAGTGGATGCTCAAGCCTAATGCATTTTCCAGAAATTTCTTGGAATACTAGAAGACTCTATCTGAGCAGTACAAAGATAGAGGAACTGCCATCATCGATCAGCCGTCTCTCTTGTCTGGTTGAACTGGACATGTCAGATTGCTGGAGTATCAGGACTCTTCCAAGCTCTGTAAGGCACTTGGTCTCACTTAAATCCATGAACTTGGACGGTTGCAAACATCTTGAAAACCTCCCAGACACGTTACAGAACCTCACATCTCTTGAAACTCTTGAAGTGTCTGGTTGCCTTAATATCAACGAGTTCCCTCGCGTTGCCACGAATGTAGAAGTGCTGCGTGTATCGGAGACATCAATTGAAGAAATTCCTGCAAGGATCTGTAATCTCTCTCACCTTAGGTCCTTGGATATTTCAGGAAATAAAAGACTGAAATCTCTTCCCGTAAGCATTTCTGAGCTAAGATCACTTGAAAGGTTCAATCTTTCTGGCTGTTCTGTACTTGAGAGTTTTCCACCAGAAATTTGTCAGACAATGACCTGCTTGAGGTGGTTTGATTTAGATAGGACCAGCATCAAAGAACTGCCTGAAGACATTGGTAATTTAGTAGCTCTCGAGGTGCTTCGAGCTAGAAGAACAGCTATAAGACAAGCACCGTGGTCTATTGCACGACTTACCCGTCTTCAAGTTCTAGCGATTGGGAATAGCATCTATACACCAGAGGGTTTTTATTCTCAGTGTCCTCACTTATCAAGGTTTATTGACTTGAGAGCTCTGTTCCTAAGCAACATGAACATGCTTGAGATCCCTAACAGTATTGGTAACTTGTGGAGCCTGTCAGAACTTGATTTGAGTGGTAACAACTTTGAATTCATCCCCACAAGCATCAAACGGCTCACCAGGTTGAACAGACTGAATTTAAACAATTGCCAGAGACTTCAAGCATTGCCAGAGGAGCTTCCACGGGGTCTCTTGTACATCTACACACATGGGTGCACATCCCTAGTGAGCATCTCAGGTTGCTTCAACCATTATTGTCTGCGCAAGCTTGTAGCTAGCAACTGTTACAAATTGGATCAAGAAGCGCAGGTTCTCATTCACCGTAACATGAAGCTAGACTCCGCAAAACCAGAACACTCTTATTTTCCTGGAAGAGATGTGCCGTCTTGCTTCAGTCACCAAGCCAATGGATCTTCGTTGAGAATACACTTGCCTCAGAATGAATCATCATCTGGCATTCTGGGATTTTCCGCCTGCATCATGATTGGAGTCCAAGGGCAGTACCCAATGAACGATCTGAAGATACGCTGCTCTTGTATTTTAACAGGGGTTGATGCTTGTGAGCTGATTGTTATGGATGAGGTATGGTATCCTGATCCACAAGCTTTTACAAACATGAGTTTTGGATCAGATCACCTTCTCTTGTTCAGCAGAACCTGCATGTCCATGGAAGAATCCAACGAAGCCTTCTTCGAATTTTCAATCGAAAACACAAATGGAGATTCTTCTAACCCGCTTGGAGAGGTTAAGAAATGTGCGGTGCACCTCATAACGTTTAAGGACATGTTACAAGAGCGTGACAGCTCAGCATCACCACGGTTCTTAAATGACTATGAGAAGATTCAAATTCCTGATTTGGAGTTTTCAAAAGCATCATATGAAGCAAGGGTTCTGAAAAGAAGACTAAATGAAACTGGCTTCTTGCATAAGGAGCAACCAAATACCAAGAGGATCAAGTTCCTCTCTCTTCCTTCAGCTCGAAAGCGACATCCCAAATCATATTAACTGAATGTTACACAGTGAAAATCGTTGGTTTGTAACTTTGTATACACAAGTATATAGATATCAATTGATCCGTATATATTTTGAAAGCATCAGCGCATCGTGAACTTTGAAGAAGCAAAATCAACAAAATCTCCCCTAAGGAGACAAGAAGCAATTGTCCAAGTGACAAGATTTTACTATGATAGAAAGTGCCCGATGAGATCAAATACAATCTGAAACCTCCAAGAATACGAAAAATAACTTTGACACTACCTCGACTCTACAGGTTGCTTTGCTAAGGCCAATATATATAGAAACATCTAATCTTTCTCTACCTACAAGTCCTGTGTACAAACAAATTCTTCTTTCGGCATGAATCAAGGCGTGCGATTGTACTTGAGATGTTGCTCGTAGAATTCAATCAGCTGGCGTCAGAAACCACGATACAGAAAAGCTTTTAGAATCTTCAAAATGAGTAGTAAATGCAGAAGAAAAGCTCTGAACAAAAAATATAACAAAATCTTACCAGAAGAGGATTGTGAGCTTTGAGAAATCTGTTCTCCACCATCACCTCCTTCCCATCAGACCTATGAGGAGGAGTAGCCAAGTAAGTAAAAAACCAGAATTGAATTCAAATGTGAAAATTGACCAAAAGAGCAGAGAGAGACAAACCTCAGCGCCAAAAAGGTCACCAACGATTCTTGGACTCCGTCTGTTACAGATGAAGAAAACTTCACTGGTTTAAGGATCTTTGTGATGTCCATATCCTCAATATTTGGTTTCTGAGCTGAATCGTTATTTTCCCGCACATCAGTGTACTCACTCCCTATCCCCTCGATCCTACCAAAAGAGGATAATGCAGCCAAATCTGGTGTCACATTCTGATCTGTAGCTGCTGTGTGGTTGTTACTTGTGGTTTCGTCTTGTGTGAATCTTTTCACAGAACCAGACTTCCTCCGCTTAGCACCTATGAAACGACTGTTCTTATCAACCTCCTTAGGATAAACCTTGAGAAGCCCATTTGGTCTTACATTATCACCTTCAGAACCAATGTCCCCTCCGTGAGAACACCCTGCACCGTTACTGTTAACGACCGGTCCCCTTAGCTCGTTCAGCGTCGGATCGTATTCTTTCTCCTCCTCGACCAAACTCACTTGCCGGATTATCCCAACACTCCCGCTGTTAGCTTCCACTTGGTTGGATACAGAAGCGTTCCTCGCCTCCCCATCTCCTTTTAGTAGACTCGAACCGCTGAGGTCGACCGGACCAGTAGTAGTATCAGGAAGGCTAGAGTTGTTGAGAGATGTAGACGATCCTGATTTCTCAGCACCATCGCGTGAGGTAGACGTTACACGTTGCTGCCTCTTCTTCATCTGAGAATTAGGGCCTCCATATTTGCGCTTCCGCTTCCTACCAGGCTTCCCTGGCTTCAAGCTTTGAGACAAGAAAGCAAATCCATACATCAACAAAAAAAGGATTGGCAAATGAAACAACAAAGTATCACAGGAACTGCTTTTGAGTTAGATGCATTTTACCTTCCTTCGAATGCATCTATAACATCAGCAATGGACTGAAGATTCTCTAGAGGCTCCCATGTGTTGGCAGTTTCGGGCCACCCGCGCCTTTCACAACCGAGTTTACAACTTATGTCAATGAGGGAAAAAAGTATATGTTTGATCAAGAACGCTGACTTAAAAATGAAACTGAGCAGGATTTGAAGAACTCACCATTTGATTAGATACTGGACCTTTCCCTACGATCAATCAAAAATCACCATCCAATGTCAATAAAGCGGCAGAACCAGTAGTAACCAAAACCAGAAAGAAGAAAACATTAAAGCGAGCACAATCAATCAACATTTCTCTCTCTACAGGATAACAACTACTTTGATTCCTTAATAACTACTTTGAGATTTCTTTCTGTCCTAGAACTCAAAGACGCCAACTTTCAGCTCTGTTAGGATCATTACTATTCAACAGAGCAGCCAATTTCTCACACCAATGTGTAAGAAATGAACAATGTGAAGAGTGAGAAGAAGTTACCTACGTGAAGACACTAATCTCAAATCGATAAAACCACATTTGCTGAAAGAAACAAACGAAAAAGAAAAAAAGGAGCTTACTTTTCTAACTCTCTTACGACGAATAGCTTCGATTTCGAAATACCCTTCATCCAGCTTAGGCCTCTCCTCTTTCCCTTCTGCTGCTTCTTCTTCTTCCTCTTCTCCGTCGTCTTCATCATCTTCGTCTTCTTCTTCTTCTTCTTCCCCATCCTCCGTACGCCTATCATCACCCATCTCGCGAAGAATCGACTCTCCACTTCCACCTGCTCCGCCGTCTTCACTGGCAAACCCACCGTCGCCGCTTCTTCTCCGGCTTTCCCCGACAATTTCCACCGCCATCTCCGCTTCACCGGCGTCGTTCACTACCTGGGTTTTCTTCTTAACACCTGCCCCTTTCATTTTCTGAGTATTCGAGCCCAGCCCTGAACGAGGCTAATCTGTAAATCGCGTTTTCCTCTTCTTCTCCTTCTGTAAATTCAACGAATTTAGGAGAAGAAAATCAGGGGAAAGATTGAAACTTTCCCTATTTCTGAGGTTTATTTTGGAGATGTTTGCAGGAAGAAGACCTGAGCTGTACTGAAGACCAGTTTTTTCACTTTTCGTGGACACCTTTAAAAAAAAAAAAAGAGAATGATATAGCAAACCAGCAAATTTAAAAATTAAATAGGAATTGTCTCACTGTAATTGTAATAACTAATACTATATACAAAACTCTTTCAGTTTGACTCAAAAAAAAAAAACTCTTTCCGTTTTATAAGTATCCTTTTATAACTTAAATTTTGTTTTTATTACAAATGTAACTTTTATATTTTTAATGTAGTTAAGAAAAAAATCTAATTTTATCCATACTCATTTAGCTTATTAATTAATAAAATCACATTATATAATGTATTAATAGATGATAAAACAGAAATTTAAATAATATGTATGTAAAACCTTTCAACAATATTTATAATGAAATAAAAAAAGAGTATCGTTTTGGTCGAAAAAAATAATGTTCAGTGATGATAACTGGGTTTTCATTATTAACATTAAAGAAAGTATGTGAAGCAATATTAATTAGAAAATAGAACAAAATACATACAGTGTATATTATCAACTATTATGGGAAGAAATGACAGCTTTTCCTCATAAATGAAAATGGAATTTTTTTTTTTAGCAAAATGGAAACATATATCATACATTTGAATAGACATGAAAAGAAAATTAGCAAATGATTACCATTTGCGTTAGTAAAATAGTTGTCATAAACTAAATAGAATCTTATCACAATTCATAACCTGTCATTCTTTATATCACAATTCATAACCTGTCATTCTTTACATCAGAATTGTTTGAATAAAGACTACAAAGAAAAGAAAAAAACCTCAAAGAGGAAATTATAAAAGAGAAACATATATAACATTATTTTCGTTGGAAGATCTACCGAAATTGCAGAAATTTATCGAATATATGTTCTAATGAGACTTTGAAGTTATATCTGAGAGCCTGTTAGTCATTGTAATCTTGAGATTTTCTATGATAGCACAACCTTTGTGGTACGTTGGTTTCGACTCGGGACTAAGAGCATCAATTAGTTATATAGTCCTAAGGTCCGATTTTATTGTCCTCCGTGTGAGCCAAAAATCTAATTACATTTTGGTGATATTTATAACCATTTTAAATGTTTTTTTTTTGTAACATATTTGCATGCACCGGCCATATATTTACAACTTAGATGCTCCAATTTTTGTTTTGATAATATTGAGAATACCAAAGCAGTATACGTTGGGGGTGTTGGAGGATATTGTCATTGCTTTCATTATCTTTATCCTCAGATATACAAATGTTTATTAACAACCACATGTGTGATAAAGGATTGGATTGTTGTCGGTGTGTTCTTACGATCAAGATAGCGATTTGCTGTTATTCATTTAGAGAGATCAGTTGAAATTTGTGTTACGATGTAGATTCTTGCGGTTGAAAGTATAGTTGTCTTGATCGTGTCCATGTGACTAGCTCGAGTTTATTATCAAGCCTCAAGTCAACGTATAAGAATTTTATTTGTTCGGTTTAGTTTGGTTCTATATGTTGGCTAACCGAAATGTGTGCTTTGTTATCTATAGAATGATGCAAATTTTACAAGTGTTTTCGCGTTGATTTTGGATATAGTCTTTTCCTTATATTTGAATTGTTATTATAAGATTTAGCAGTTAAGTTTTTTTGGGGTCTAAAAAATAGAGTTTTTTTATATTGTTATTTTTTACATGTCCAAATGGTGATGAGAGAAGAGAAAAAAGGAAAAGTTTGGACTGACAGAAATAAATGAGTTCTTGTCAAATGGTAGGCTGATGAAAATTTTGAAACTATACCTTGATATATATATATATATATATATATATATATATATATATAAGAACTTTTTAAAAAATATCCATGATTACAAGTACTCAAACAATTCACATTTTTTCGACAACCACAATGTACATATACAATCAAGTAAATTTAAAATCCCAAGCCTCCCATAATATTATACTCCAAAAAAAAAAACAGGTAACTATAAAAAAAAACTCGAATAAATCCGAATAAAAAAGGAATATCAACCTTATTAACCTTTTTTCAAAGTTACAGAGTTGCATTAACCTAATAATGCAATCTCAACACAGGTCCTTCATTTTCTTAAGAGGATGCAAACAAAAAAAACACAGAATACATATATATTCATTTTTTCAAAAGACAAAAAGAATATTTTTCAAAAACTCCTTTGAATGATTTAAATATTATATGTATATGTAAATTATCACTTCCTCTCTTCATCTCTCGTCGAGTTTGTACTCGATTCTACAGAATGTGACTTTAGACTCCAGATTTTCATACGCTCGTTCGTCTTCTTTACCTGTAATTAGATACGATTTAACTTTTAATACATTTAGTCTTTTTTTTTTTTGCTTAACAGCATATTCAAAATTCATATTAATTAAGAGTAAATGTAAATTACCTCCATTTCCCAGTCAGTTTTGTAGATAACATAAGACAATGCCAATGTTTGGATACCAACTCCACCCAACATTCCAGACCAGAGTCCCTGTAATTAAACGCACACAATATCAGTTAATTAGATTATCATTAGTTCTATGATGATATAACTAATGGATATTAGTAAATTAGCATACCTTAACACCAAAATCTAAAATGAAAATAAGGATGAAACCGAAAGGGACACCAATTGCATAATAAGATGCTAAGTTCACAATTGCTACAACACTCTGCAACCCTGCTCCAATAGCTACCCCTGTTGATATTCAAAGACCAAATATGTTGTGGTTAAAAATGAGTGAAATATTCAAAACTTTATGTTATAAGTTATATATATGATTAATAAAATGGTGATTTTTTTTTTTCTAACCAGAGAGAATGGGCTGGACGATGTTTAAGAGTATGGATATGCTAAGGACGATGGAGAGATCAGCGACTGCGTCGGAAACTTGGTGGCTATCGGAGAACAAATACGAAATCTGACCGCCAAACGCTAGGCAAAGAGCAGAACATATCACACCAATCACGGCTGATACCACAAGCACCACTTTTATCGAGAATCTCACAGCGTCCGCATCGCCTCTTCCCAATTCGTTAGCTACTCGTACGCTGCATTTTTTTTATGTAGATCAACTAGAGACTCTATAGCATTTTTCAAAGATTATAGACACTCTATAATATTAAACAAAACAAAAAAGTATTGTAAATGGTTACATATATAGTTACATACCATGCTGCACCCAACAAGCCCAAGCATATGTTCATCTCCCAGGTGTAGATATATTGGCTGCAAAATTAATTTGAGGATTTTAGTTTTCAAATGGTATAAAAACGTTACATATATTTATCATGCATGATGGATTTTTATTAGGTTATATACCATATGGAAAATGCAGAAATTGCAATATTTGCATCCTCTGTATATCCAGACATTAATACGATGATGCTCATATACCAGTACTCTAAGCTGTTCAAAGCAAACACAAGAAGAGTCATTAGTTAGAAAAGGGCGGTCTGAAATTAGTCATCATATTTTCATCATACAAATTAAAGATTTTTTTATTTTTTTTTACCAAAGCATGAAGCCAGAGGAAATGGATAACTTGAGCATAGGAATAAGATCGACAAAAGCAGCAGTACTAAAGCCGGTCCAAGTGAGCGGGCACCACCCTCCAAAGACATACACAAACTCGGCTATCACCACAGACCACGAGCTGATGTTAAGTCCAAGAAGCGCACCATGGATTCCCATCCCCATCACACTCACGCACCACCACGTGGCCGCAATGTCCAAGACCAAGGCTAGTGTCGAGAGAACGCCTATGATGGCGTTCCTCATCTGCGCCTGGAGGTACATTTGCATTGTCATGGTGAATACGATGCTGTACAGATAAGGAATGACCCAAAGGTAGATCTCGTCGACCGTCTTGGTGATCTCAACGTTTTGGCCTAGTAACCTAAGTATGGGACCTGCGAAGACTATGAAAGGGACAAAGAGTGTGGCTGTAAAGATGTCTACTATCCAAGAACGTTGTAGATATATCCCCATCATGTGATATTGCTGTGCTCCATAGGCTTGTCCACATAGCGTCTCCGTGGCACTTGACATACCTGCCTATATATATAACACAAAACTATATCTTCCGTTTGTGTTTTATGCCTTCAGTGTTAAAAATATGTAAAACCACAACATCCTAATGTTTGTATTAAAGTCCTTTGCCAATGGTAAACGCAAACGCTAGTTCTATATCCCCATGCGATTCGATTATATAAAATCTTATTGATTAAGATTTAAGATCAAGCTAATATTGTTTAACTCAGAAAGTCAGAAGATTTTTGATCACTTGATTGCTCTCATTTTCTCATTTTTCTAACAAGAAGATGCTTGTAAATATAATATTCTAACTTATAAACACTAACATAATGATACACTAGTGATGTCGATTTGTCATCATCTAGATTGTATATTGTTTTTCTTTTTTAATAAATGATTTCAATTGTATATTGTTGAGAAAAAAACAAACAACGCTTACCATAACACCATAGATGAAACGAATGAAAGTGCTTTGAATGAGAGCATAAGCAGCGAGACCCGTTTCGCTGGAGTGGCCAATGAAGGCTTGAGCCACCACTATGCATCCAAACGACATCACTCTGAACAGAGTCGATGGCAGAGCTATTCTCCACATCTTCCTCACTTCACTCCAAATCTTCTTTCTCAAGTAGAAACTCTCTCTCCTCTGTTCTGTCTCTGACCCATTTAGCAATCTCTCCTCCAATTCTCCACCACCTCTACTCATTTTTCCTCCTCTTTAAGCTTCTCTAACCAAAACGAAACAAAAAACCAATTGTAGTTTTAACTAGCTAATCACTTATATAGATACGCCACAGGGATAAATAAAGCTTCAATCAAAACTTTAACATGGTTTAAAATATAAAATATTAACACTAGAATGCAAATGCGACTGCTATCAAAGAGCTAAGTTTATCCTAATTACCAAAACTAATAATTTCTTTTAATGGGTTCTTCAAAATATAATTCATCATTAAACATCTACTGATCTACATATATGCATGTCTATATACATATTTGTAGTATATTCTTCTAAAGAGATTTTATTAAAGTATGGAGTGATCTACTTACCTGTCGAACTTAGTCCAAGGGGAAAGAGCCGGAGAAACCAAGAACAAAAAAAAAAAGTTTCCCAGAAAATTCAAATGAGAACAAAAAAAAAGGGAAGAAGAAGAAGAAGAAGAAGAGAGGCTAGCTTGGAAAATAAGTGTAATGTTTTTTCTCTCTCACTCTGGAAAAATGTTGTAAGACTAAAACTAAAACGCTTGGCTATATATAGTGAGAGACTGATGTAAGAGAGAAGGACGGTTGCGTTGATTTATACGTGTAAATACAAACGCCGTGACATAAAAATGCATATTCATATATATTTTCTGGTGGGGAAAGGTTTTATAAAGTAAATGTTGTCGTTCTTTTTTGTGCAAGAAAAACCACAATGTACTGCAAATTTTAAAACCAAGTATTGATTCTAATTCTTGTTGGATCCAATTTTAAAATGACATATTTTAGTGTTACGGATATTAACTGACATATTTCATATTAGCAAAGAATACAAATTTAAAACGTAATATCCATTGACGTAGTGTTAACTGATATTTTTGGATGAAAAATTATGTGTTGTAACTTGCTTTTGCATTATTGTATATGAATATCTATATTATTATTTTTTTATAAAAGGGTAGCACTGGCAGCATATGAATATTTTAATCATGCAAAAATGATATATTTACAAAAGAGAAACGATGGTTTGTAAAAAGCATTACTAATTTCAAAAAATAAAAAAAAAGTCGCTAAGTTTTGTTTCAGTTACTAAAATACAGTTATGCGAGTGAATTTTTTTTATGCTGTTTATTTACCAAAATAAAAACCGTAGTAAGAAAAATAGGATTACATACATATATGAGAAGAAAACAAATGGTAAAAAGGTATGAGATAGACTTCGAGAGAGCCAATGGAGTGAGGAGGTGTTGTCCACGTGCCAAAAGGAAACATCGAGTCCATGCATCTTCAAATAAAAATCAACGTTATGACTTCGGAGTAAACGAGCATCAAAGAGATGCGTCTGCTTTAGGTTAGGTTAATCATGCATAGAGAAATGAAAATAGTGGGTACAGCTTTTTTGTAAAAGGCTTTTACCACCTTTAGTCTTTAACTGATAATTAAAGATAATCCATTTTTTGGACCAAAATTTTCTTAAATGCTTCCTTTTTGTGCGTAGGTAGTTTCTTTTTCTATAACCTGACTTTTCTTCAAAATTAAAACTATCTCAATAAGATCCAAAAACAAATCTCACATCACGATGATTTGGACATTCGGTGCTAATAAAAAAGGAACAAGAAGCTTATTAAAACCTAGAAGAACTACGTCCCGTCTCCTTAGTTTCGTGTCTACTATTTCAGTTTCAGAGAAATAAACTACGTCCCGTTTCCTAAGAAAAGACACAGACTACGCGATGTTTTTAAAGACACCTTCGACGACTCGATAGGAAAAAGGGATGACACGAGGGGGACCCATATTAGCTACACGTTATGAATAAATTGTGACAATTCATTCCCACCAATGTGACCACGTTTCAATTGGATGCTTCCATCTGTTTTGTTTTGATTTTAATATTTAATATTTAACTAATTGCTACAAATCCTTGCATTAACTTTTAAGGACAAAAAAGACGACTTTTAAATTTTTATCATAGGCATTTTTCAGCTATTTATTTTAATTATGTTTCTCTGTATAGTACTATGACACTTATGACTCAATCCATCCAACTTTTGGTCAAAATTATATAATTTCTTGTTTGTCAAGTATTAAATTGTAGCATGCAGCGTCATGTGGGTGGGGAATTTTTTTTCTTCAGTTTCTTACTACTTTCAGCTAAATTGCCAAATGCAAATGGTACTAATTGTTTTTCACATATATATATATATATATATAATATGCACCAAACGACTACAGTTAAAGACGAGCTTCACAAAATCAAAATTTAAATTTTACATGTGAAGGACGTTACTTTATTTGTAAAATATATCATCTATATAGAAATTGTTGCAGTATATATAAAGTATCCAAACATATCAAATTATTCATCAGCCATTACTGTATTTAACATTACATATTACAATCTTGAATAAAGAAATAGGTTAATGGTCAAACGTGTGTGACTTATATATTGATTTCAATTTGGTAGTTCCAAATTATCAATTGAATTTTATGCGTTTTCTAGATTTTTTATAAGCTGGATAAACTACTCTGAATTTAAAATCAATACAACAATAACACTCAACTCTCTCCATAAATTGACACATCAGATTTTTTAATTTTTGAGAAGCTGACACATCAGCTATTTTACAAACCAATCAAATTAAAATATTAATACAATTCATCTACTTATTTTAATTTTTAAATTTAGATCCATTAAAAACCCAAATACATTTTTTGTTAATAATTTGTTTTATTTTTTAACAAATCAAAGCTCAAATAATAAATAACAGCAAATAAAAAAATCTTTGTTTTATTTTTTGTCAAACTCAAACCCAAATAATAATTAACAGCAAATAAATAATTTTTTTTAGCTATTTGTTTGTTCAACAGAAACATATATGATTGAAAAAATGTAGCCTCATCATCAACTATGTTTCCATAACAACAACACAAAATTTTTTATGTTATAAGAAGCTCACACATCAGCAAAAATTTGAACCAATAAAAACATAACAATAATACATATTATTAACACACTAATAAAATCAGTTTACTATTTTGCAGACCCATTAAAAAGTCCAAAAGTCTACAAAAAATGGAATTCGAAAGCAAAAGAGGAGAAGCTCAAACCACCATAACTTGGATATTCGCATTTCCAGTGGTTACTCAGAACAAATTTTCATGGGTTTAGCGGGAATAGAGAATTCTTGGGTGTCGGTAGGAAAATGTGATTTTCAGTTTTGATAGGAAAACATAATTTATTGGTTATGGCGGAAAAAATAAATTATCGGGTTTGGCGGAAAAAATGTAAATTTTTAGTTTTGGTGAGAAAACAAAAAAAAATTGGATTTTGACGCGAAAACAAAATATCTTAGTTTTGACCAGAAAATGCAAGAAAAATGCAACTTTTCAATTGACAAAAATACGATTTCTTGGTTTTGATAAGAAATGCAAATTTTCGGCTTTTGATGAATAATGTGATTTCTTGATTTTTGCGGAGAAATATGATTTCTTAGTTTTCGTGGAAAATTGTAATTTGACGATTTTGGCAGAAAATGCAATTTCTCAGGTTGATGGGAAAACAAAATTTCTTGATTTTGTAAGGAATAAGCAATTTCTCGATTTTGATGGAAAATGCAAATTTTCAGTTTTTGACATGTAATGTGATTTTTTGGTTTTCGCGGTAAAATGTGATTTCTTAGTTTTCACGGAAAACATAATTTCTTAGGAGATAATGCAACTTTTGGTTTTCGCTAATAATTGTAGTTTATCAGTTTTAGTAGGAAGACCTGATTTTTGGTTTGATGATTTTTTTTTCTTTTGCGGGAATTGACGATTTTTCGGTTTTCATGGGAAAATAATTTTTTTGGTCTTGGTAAAAAAACTTGTTTTCTTCTTTTTGACGGGAAAACACAGGTTCTCGCAGGAAAATATGATATTTTGGTTTTTGCGGCAAAATGCAATTTCTCTGTTTTGGTGTGAAAATGAAATTTCAGGTTTGACGAAAAAATAAATATTTTTCGTTTTGGCGGGAATAGATGAAATGAATTTTTTTGTTTTGTCGGAAAGTGTGATTTCTCAGTTTTTTAAAAAAATGGCAATTTGCTTTTTATAATTTCAAAGAAAAATCAAGTGGCAATTTAGTAGAGATAACAAACTACATTTGCCATTAGCATAAAATTACTTAAAAATATAATTATTTTTATTCTTACATATATATTTATAGATATTTAGTTAAACAAATTTGATAGTAGATTGTAATTTGGAAAATAAAAAAATTAACGATGTATAATGTTTATTCAAATTTAAAACATATAAATATATAACTTAAGCTAATAAAAAATAAATATAATGCTCATTTATATTATAAAAATAATTTTATTATATTAATAATATATACAAAATCTAGAAATATATCCTGCAGCATAGCACGGGTATATACCTAGTATATTACAATTTCTTTTCAGTCATGGAGAACATCTACAATTAAAATGAAATTCGATCGACAAGAGAGTTTTCAATCATTTAACAAAAAAAAAAAAAAAAAAGAGTATTCAACTGGAAGGTCTCTTTTTAATTTGGGTCAAGAAATTGCATGGTCATTATGTTTGGTTTATTATTGACTGGATATGGGGAGTATCAACCCTACATGGCCCTCATTAGTAACTCACTTAGTAATTAATCATTGGTAATTAATCATGAGGAACTCACTTAGTAATTAACTCACTATGTCTAATCGATCGATCACACTCACCGTATTAAATGATTCATTTCAATTTTTACATTTTTTTTACTGTAGTAGGCATTATATGAGTGTGTTTAACTCGAAATTAAATCAATATATATATATATATAGATGCTGCCGATAAACAAAGAGGACGTTTTTTCCCCCTAAATAGAGAACCTCGGTTAAGGTTGATCATATGAAAACAATCAAAAAAATAAAGGAAAAGAAAATATCCGATACTATACAAATCATATAATTCTCTGACGATATTAAAAATGGCGCAGGCAGGTACGGTGAATGTTAGTATACATT